TATTTAAAATCAAGACAACAAAGAGTATTTGTAGGTGAATATTTTTCTAATTACCAAACAATTAAAGCCGGAGTTCCCCAAGGTTCAGTTTTAGGGCCTCTTTTGTTCCTAATATACATCAATGATATAACTGATGAATTATAAAGTGTATCACGTTTGTTTGCCGACGATACTTCATTGACTTATGGCTCTTCCTCTATACTAGAAATAGAACGAATTTTAAAAATTTTGATATGCAGCGTATAATAGATTGGTCCAAAAAGTGGTTGGTAACATTTAATCCTATTAAAACTAATGTCATTTTTATCTCAAACAAGTTACGAAACAATGCCATTCATTTACAATTCGGTGAAACACGATTAAATATGTCAGAAAGCCACAGGCACTTAGGAGTTTTATTGAGTGCTAATGCAAAGTGGGGTAATCATGTTGACTTTATATATCAGTATTAAAAAAGATCAATGCCTTAAGGCCATTAAAATTTCTAGTAAATAGAAAAACTCTATCTAAAATTTATACCTCATTTATACTGCCAGTTCTTGAATACTCGTGTGAAGTTTGGAGTGGTTGTTCTAAATTTCATTCTGATTTACTAGAAAAATTACAATTAGAAGCAGCGAGAATTGTGACCGGTCTACCAAGTTACGTTACTAGGCAAGCATTATATTTCGAAACGGGGTGAGAATCATTAGAAAACAGACGAAATAGAAGAAATTTTATTTTATTTTACAAGATCCATAATAATCTAACACCTTCTTATTTACACGATCTTTTACCAACAGTTCACAGTAATTTAAACAGGTATGAATTAAGAAATAACAATGATTATGTATTACCGAATTATAGACTAACTAATACCAGACTGTCTTTTTTGCCTAACACTATTAAACTCTGGAACAATATTCCCGATGAAATAAGAAATCTACCAACTGTGTCTAAATTTAGAAAAGCTATCAGTCCAAGACAAAACAAATCTACTATTTTTTTTAGTTACGGACCACGTCGTTTAAATATAATTCATACTAAATTAAGATATAACTGCAGTGCGTTAAATAACGATTTGTACCGTGTAAACTTAGTAGAATCATCAACATGTTCTTGTGGACATTTTTGTGAAGATGCATATCATTATTTTTTTTTGAATGTCCTAATTATACTATTTTGAGAGCAAACATGTTTGTAAATTTTGCGTCCGTATTACCCAATTAATCTCGAAATTCTTTTGTCTGGAAAATCTTAACTCGCCGTTACTGAAAACGAAGACATTTTTCACATCGTACAAACATACATGCGGGCCAGCAACAGATTCTGACTTCATTCTGTGAATTGGTGATCTTGCCTTCTTCTCCTTACTGTATCTCTAATAGCTACTTGTAACTATATTAATTTTTCAATATTGAATGTTATCAATTAATTACGAGGAATGTTTGTCTGGCACTTTAGTTCAGCTTAATTGAAAGCCTTGAAGAGAACGAGATGGCCTATAGGAATGGTGTTTTAATGAACTGTGTAAGAAGGAATGATGTGTTGTGCAGTTATAGTGCCAGGCATGAGCGTTGACTACGTCAGATTGTTAAATCAGTTTCTTCTCTTCCTCTCCCATCTTTTCTTTCCTTCCTTTTTCCCTACTACATTTTACATTTAAAAATGAGTTGTAACTGTACATAGCTGTTGTGACATTCATTGTATATATTATTGTGGAGATGGCTCTTATAAGTTGAGATAACTTATGCCCAATCCATTTGCTTTCGGCAATAAAATATGTTTCAACTAAACACATTCTTGCAACTCTAAACCTATGAAATCACACTCAATACACACATTCTTGAACTTTGAACCTAGGAGGTCACACTCAATACACATATTCTTGAAACTCTAAACCTGTAAATTCCCACTCAATACACACATTCTTGCAATTCTTATCCTATGACGTCACACTCAATTCACACATTCACACATAACTTTAAACTTATGACGTCACACTTAATACACACATTTTTGCAACTTTGAACCTAGAAGGTCACACTCAATACACACGTTCATGCAACTTTAAACCTATTACGTCACACTCAATACACATATTCTTGAAACTTTAAACCTATGACTTCCCACTCAATACACATATTCATACAACTTTAAACTTGTTACGTCACACTCAATACACAAATTCTTTCAACTCACACCTACGACGTCACACTCAATACACACATTCTTGCAACTCTAATCTTAAGACGTCACACTCAATACACACATTCTTGCAACTCTAATCTGATGACGTCACATTCAATACACATATTCTTACAACTTTAAACTGATACAGGTGTCTATTCCAGGATTAAATAACTAATTCTGCACTACACTACAACCTGATGTAATACACGTGTATTTCGTCTGATACAGGTGTCTTTTCCGGGATTAAAGATCTAATTCTTTACTTATCTTCTATTTGATGTAATGCACGTGTATTTCGCCTGATACAGGTGTCTATTCCGGGATTAAAGATCTAATTCTGTACTTATCTTCTATTTGATGTAATGCACGTGTATTTCGTCTGATACAGGTGTCTATTCCGGGATTAAAGATCTAATTCTGTACTTATCTCCTGTTTGATGTAATACATGTGCTATAGTGGTATGACCAGATATAAATATGAATCCCTTCTTTGGCGAATCACCAGTTTTACATGTAACCCTGGAAAAACACTAGCCGCAATATAATTGGCGAGCTCTCTTTAGCTTGATCGGTCTGCGTCAAACGAGCAAGCCACAGTTCCCAGGATCGAATCATGACCTGCGTTACATCGGCGCCCACATAGGAACTCGGGAATAATATTTGGCATTGTCTCACAAGCATTGTAAAACTAGCCAGCCAGAGGTCCTGGGTTCGAATCCTGGCGCAAGCATCGAAATAAATAACGATCTCTGTTACATACATGTCAATAGATAACCGTCAGAATATATTCTAATCCTATTAAATGAAATCAATTTATCACGAGAAAACAATCAAATTTCCAATTAAAGTTATATAAAATGGTTGATTTATACTATTACTTGGAACCTGTTCAGCTATGTAGGTCTTTGTTCTCAGAGCCAGTATCACTCATAATGATTTAACTAAAACGGAGACCATGGTATGTGAAGTTTTAAATTTACATAATGTAAGTGATTCGTAGACTTAATTCTTAATTAAGGTCATGTGCAAGTCTCTCCTTATATATTAGTAAAAGTAATATTTCCCGGAAAATAATACAAAAATCAAGAAAATGCGAACATGGCAACATAATAATAATTCAAATTCAAATACTATAAAACTAGGGCAAAATATGAACAACAGAGAGATTGACTCCCGAAAAAGTACAACGGGAACCAGGTGTTCAGAATGAGCAAGCATCTTCTGCTTCATCGACAATACTTGCCATGTAAACATGGGTCAATCCAAGTAAGTAATGTCACGTTCTCAAATGAGAGCAAGGTATACAACAACGGAACTAGCCAGCAAACTAACTAGTTTCAAATACAGTGATACGAACAAGATTATCTTTTTTAGCATGGCACTGATTTAACGATATTTTATAGCTGTCATTACCTTCAAATCCTGTAATTTAGTTTACTGTTGCTTTTCGTCCTTTTAACAGTCAGGGTCATTTAAGGATGTGCCAGGTCTGGCTAGTGGAGGAAAACCGGAGTACCGGAGAGAATCCACTGACCTGTGTTCATTACATGATGACTGTGGCCCCTCTCTAATCCTATACAGACCTGCTTACATCTCTGATATCTACATACACGAATGTATGTATGATAATGATATATTGAAAGACATTTTAATTCATTCGAATATATATGTACTTTCGAAATTTATAGATATATGTAAATTATGTGATTTATTGAATTATGGAACTAGTGTGCCTCCCCATCTAAATTTTGACTTTTCTTTCGGTTAGTGTTGGTTTCCCTCAGTCGCTCACTAAATATTAAGGCTCCTAGCATCACTGACGAGTCCTAGAAGGACGAAACAGCTGTATGATGTAGCATCACTGACGGGTCCTAGAAGGACGAAACAGCTGTATGATGTAGCATCACTGACGAGGCCTAGGAGGACGAAACAGCTGTATGATGTAGCATCACTGACGAGGCCTAGGAGGACGAAACAGCTGTATGATGTAGCATCACTGACGAGGCCTAGGAGGACGAAACAGCTGTATGATGTAGCATCACTGACGAGGCCTAGGAGGACGAAACAGCTGTATGATGTAGCATTACTAACTAGTCCTAGGAGGACGAAACAGTTGTATGATGTAGCATCACTGACGAGGCCTAGGAGGAGGAAACAGTTGTATGATGTAGCATCACTGACGAGGCCTAGGAGGAGGAAACTGCTGTATGATGTTGCATCACTGACGAGGCCTAGGAGGAGGAAACAGCTGTATGATGCAGCATCACTGACGAGGCCTAGGAGGAGGAAACAGTTGTATGATGTAGCATCACCGACGAGGCCTAGGAGGAGGAAACAGCTGTATGATGCAGCATCACTGACGAGTCCTAGATGGACGAAACAGCTGTATGATGTAGCATCACTGACGAGGCCTATAAGGAGGAAACAGCTGTATGATGCAGCATCACTGACGAGGCCTAGGAGGAGGAAACAGCTGTATGATGCAGTATCACTGACGAGGCCTAGGAGGAGGAAACAGCTGTATGATGCAGCATCACTGACGAGGCCTAGAAGGAGGAAACAGCTGTATGATGTAGCTTGTCCCTCCCAGTTCTTAAGGTCGGATCATGTTTCATGAGATATCTCGTTATCCATTTTTATTCTAGATTCTTCTCTCGTCTGTGCCCCCTAGTGGAAATGGTAAATAGTCTTGGTCCTGAAAGTCTCTCCATATGTATTGAAAAAAGTAATATTTTCCAGGAGATAATTTATATACAGAATCTGTGTTGATATTCACACAAAATAAAAATTCCAATGAAATGTTACATTTCTTTACTTGGATACATCAATAAAGTAGCATTAATTCTCATCAACTTTCTCATCCTTTTGTAACATAAATTGATCATCAATTTTACACCATTCATTCGTAAATCATTCCAAACATGCACAGTGTATGGTACAACATATTTTTAATCAATCAACACGTGAAATTTCAGTTGATACCTCATGTAAAGTATGATAACTCCTGATCAATCCTGAGGTACAACCTGTAGCAAACAATATAGACTTTATATCCCTCTACAGACAATAAAACCCTAACTTTGGTACACTGAATACTCCTACAATATTATATAGACTTACAGACCTAATATAAAACCTCAAATACATATCAGATTAACCATAATCTAAAAATTAATTATACCTTAATCTATCATTGTATATCATACACACCCAAAGTAATGAAATGACGATACCTTTTGACAGTCCAGCAATAAGGTTCATCGCCCTCAAAACCAACCTGGATCATGTTCAGGTGAGTGGTGCAGAACTCTGGATAGAAATCACTCAATGCTCATCAATCTGAAATCATTCTGCATGCTACCCAAAGAAATTTGCATATGGTCTTGTTCGAGAACACAAACATAACAGTATAGAATCATCTGTGATTTCAGCGTCCTGGGAATCACAAATCATCTTTTGTAGGAATCCAACCGCACATCTTGGATCTCCACATGCATTTGAATAAGTTCCTCAGGTTTTAAGGGAGATAGCAGAATTATTTACATATGACTATTAATTTAGATTGTTACATTTCTAACCCAATCTTTCCCTACTAGTTACCTCCCCTAATGTAAACAGAACATGACCCTGATGATATACTGTATAAGACAATATTAATATAGGTTTTTTCTGACTAATGATTAATCACATTTCAAGATCTGACAAACGTGTAATATACAAGAATTTACAACAAATAGAACTCAGTCATTATAATCATATTCCTTGGCCCACTGTCACATAGGAAACCGTCACCATGGGGATCATTGTCAACAAAGTATTAGGAATCATCATGTTACAACAGTACAGGTGACTAGAATTGTACTAAGTATAAAAGTACTACATATACATGTGTTTACATAAATCATCAGGAAATTTCAAACTAGTTTAGTATTACAAATTCCTATTGTACTCACAAACACAGAGAAATGTAATTCCTGTAAAGACTAATGAATTCTTTCAATCTTAGTAGATTTTAATTTTTATTCTAAATCGTTCTTGTTAATCATTAAAAATGAAAAAAATTACAAAAATAATAATAATAATAACCCCACTTTGTCAGACAAATGAAGAATTTCATTTAATACTAGTAATACCCTTGTAATTAGAGACAAACTACTGTGTTGTTAAAACTACCACTTTCACCTTTTAACGTCAAAACTATAAAGTTACTTATTTTACAGCAATTTAACACTTAACGGAAAAACCAATCCCTGCAAATAGTGAGACAAGTTTATCACTTGTTATCAATGTCATCAGGATTAAGAATTTTTTTGGAAACATACTTAATTCTATAGTACATAACACACAAAGTTTGACCCCAATATATAAACATTGTGTACTGGTGCAAATGCATCACCACATAAACCTCAGGATTTTCTGGGCGTTTTAAATACTTGTTAGTCAGAAGAATGATGTGGCAAAACATTCATAATGTATGCTTTTTTATGACAGACTTCATTCTGATCACATTGTATGTAAATAAATGAGAAGTTGAGTTTAAGGATTTGGCATTCAGTTAAATGCTTGGTACTTACATGTCTTGTAAAATGACCTTTAGATACCTTGATAAAAATCTCCATTTTTCTCCTTAATAAGCAGCAAGCAAATCATTGTTAATATAAAGATATAAAACAAAATGGGAAAAACCTCTGAATAATAAAGCACAGGCCCTTTCATATTATATCTTTACACGTTTTCTCTCTTTTCTATGACGTCATAATGGAAAATTAAGCCGTTATTGATGATGTCATATTGTGTTACCGCGTAGTCATCCATGTAGTACAACTGAGGTAATACAACTAATTGTAAAAGTGTATAAAGATTTGTAATAAAAGTGTTAATGTTTTACTAATAAGAAGTGTTTCCAATTTCCTCCTTTTCTGTATATGTACTGCACACTGTGAATTCAACTTTCTAATATATATAGGCAAAAGGACTTTAAAACATTTCTTTTTTTTAAAAAAAAATTTATACGGAGACTGTTTTAGAAAGATAAGAGGAAGGAAAGTATTGTATCAAACTGTTTAAACCTAAGCTTAATAGTCTTGTATAAGATTCATCTCCTTTTGTGACATCACCAAATCTATGATGTTAAAATGTATCGCCATGGTTACTATGTAACTATGTATTTATTGTTAAGTATCTGAAGATGATTACATAAAGCACTGACGCTTAACGAAGACCTTGCACTTTTAAGATATTTTAAACTGGACAATTTGAAAATAACTTTATATATTTCACTTATTGCATGGCCAAAATAACTAATTAACACTCATAGATCTGGGATGAAAAAAAATCAAATTCTTTGCACTGAAGTTAAAGCACTTTATATATTTATTCACAATCACAAATATCAACATGATTTATCAACCATTACTAATGACTCTAATAAATACTGGATTACTCCAACATCACCATTAAAAATGGCTTCAATACTTCTTCAATTACTTTTTAGGTAACCATCATTCTGATCTATAAATTATATCATGTTCTTCCATGGGGAAGGGTTTTATTCATACACATTTTAACATATCACAATAAGTGCACATACTTTTAATTTTCATAACAGATATAAAACACTATCATATTCTCCATTTTCCAACAACATCTTTTTAATTATTTTTTGGAATGTAAAGTGTTAGTATGAGAAATAGAGTATTCATAACTAAATTGAAGGGATATGATTAATATACAGAGAAAGGACCGAGATATTATCTAATCATAGTTTAATTTTAATTTAAACATTAATTAGTATAACACATCCACAAATCTAAACAGATTTTATCTCACTCTTACTGCATATCACAATCAAAATACAACAGTATTAAACATTCAAATCAAATCTTTTGTTCGTATGTTGATTATTTTTAAACACATTACAGATATAAATATTTTTGCTATGGATGATGTATGTTCAATGAGGTCTCTATATGTGTTACTTTTTGTATCGTGAGCCACAAGAAACACATCTTGTCATTAAATGTCTTCTTGCTCCTAACTATTTCTGAATCAAACAACATATTTTCAATGATTTCAATGATCTTACAGAATTATACCTTAAATCAGTGGCATACATATATCGGTTTCTTTCTAAAAATCTACTCATAACATGTGAATACAGGGTAAACTACATTAATGTGTTTTTCCTGGCAGATATACCGTCTAGTGCCACTAGGTTATGACAAGGATGGCTGATGGTAGATCAATATGGAAGTTTTACAACTCAATGTCTATACAGAGAGTACAGTATTGATATCGTTAAGTTGTTTCTGCTTTAAATGAAAACATCCACTATTGTAATAATGACTGCATACTGGTTATTGATGGACTTATCACAAGTGACGAGATACAGTGACTAGGCCTTGGCAGGGACGAGACCGGGGGTGTCCTTGGATGTGGTGTTTTCTAACTGTCGACCCAAGTACTCCCTATAAAATAATATATAAAGCAAGGTTAAACAAATATGTCCAAGAATATAACATATTCCCCATTAGTACACAAATTTGAGTCTGAACCACTGTACAACAAAAGTACAGAAACTCAAGGTAAAACAAATTCTATTAGTTGTACAATGTACAACAAAAGTACAGAAACTCAAGGTAAAACAAATTCTATTAGTTGTACAATGTACAACAAAAGTACAGAAACTCAAGGTAAAACAAATTCTATTAGTTGTACAATGTACAACAAAAGTACAGAAACTCAAGGTAAAACAAATTCTATTAGTTGTACAATGTACAACAAAAGTACAGAAACTCAAGGTAAAACAAATTCTATTAGTTGTACAATGTACAACAAAAGTACAGAAACTCAAGGTAAAACAAATTCTATCAGTTGTACAATGTATCTCATGATACTTCCCAAACAACATATAACAATATTACACAGAAACTGCAGCTAGACCAAATTTTATCAGCTGCATATCACAATACTTCCCAACCAGCATACAATAATATTTCACAGAAACTGCAGTTAGACCAAATTTTTGGAGTAATGCTATAACTTTATGAAACGGTGGATACTGGTTTATAGTCCCTCAAAAACATTTATTCAAATTTAAAAGATGTTTTTTGCCCTTCTTCAGCTTTCAAAATATACAGTTCTGTCTGATTTGAAATATCGGGCAGAAGACGGCCCTATGCTTTTCTATATATAGGTATTTATGGTCAATATCTGCGATTTACCTGTCACTTACAAACAAATATAAAGATATGTCAATGTAATTCTAACTTACCAGTTATGTACCATAAGCTTCTGTACTGCTATCAGAGCCTCAAATCTCACATTAGGATCATCGTGAGAAAGGTACTGCATCACCAGTTGTTTACCTCCAAGTTGTTCTATAACACTGAAACAGAAACAATACTCTGTATAAACACATCATCATAAACCACTTGGAGTTCAATGATGTATAAACACATCATCATAAACCATTTGGAGTTCATTGATGTATGTACACAGAAACATAAACCACTTTGAGTTCAATGATGTATAAACACATCATCATAAACCACTTGGAGTTCAATGATGTATAAACACATCATCATAAACTATTTGGAGTTCATTGATGTATGAACACAGCATCATAAACCACTTGGAGTTCATTGATGTATGAACACAGAAACATAAACCACTTGGAGTTCATTGATGTATGAAACACAGTATCACAAACCACTTGGAGTTCATAGATGTATGAACACAGAAAGATAAACCACTTGGAGTTCATTGATGTATGAAACACAGTATCACAAACCACTTGGAGTTCATTGATGTCATAGGATTCATAGATGTATGAACACAGAAACATAAACCACTTGGAGTTCATTGATGTATGAAACACAGCATCACAAACCACTTGGAGTTCATTGATGTATGAACACAGAAACATAAACCACTTGGAGTTCATTGATGTACACAGCATCACAAACCACTTGGAGTTCATTGATGTATGAACACATCATCATAAACCACTTGGAGTTCATAGATGTATAAACACAGAAACATAAACCACTTGGAGTTCATTGATGTATGAAACACAGCATCACAACCCACTTGGAGTTCATTGATGTATGAACACATCATCATAAACCACTTAGAGTTCATAGATGTATGAACACATCATCATAAACCACTTGGAGTTCATTGATGTATGAACACATCATCATAAACCACTTGGAGTTCATTGATGTATAAACACATCATCACAAACCACTTGGAGTTCATAGATGTATGAACACATCATCATAAACCACTTGGAGTTCATTGATGTATGAACACATCATCATAAACCACTTGGAGTTCATTGATGTATGAACACATCATCATAAACCACTTGGAGTTCATAGATGTATGAACACAGAAACATAAACCACTTGGAGTTCATTGATGTATGAAACACAGTATCACAAACCACTTGGAGTTCATAGATGTATGAACACAGCATCATAAACCACTTGGAAACACACATTGGAGTTCATTGATGTATGAACACAGCATCATAAACCACTTGGAGTTCATTGATGTATGAACACAGAAACATCATCACATAATTGATGTATGAACACAGAATCATAAACCACTTGGAGTTCATTGATGTATTAACAAATCATCATAAACCACTTGGAGTTCATTGATGTATGAACACAGAAACATAAACCACTTGGAGTTCATTGATGTATGAAACACAGCATCACAAACCACTTGGAGTTCATTGATGTATGAACACATCATCATTAACCACTTGGAGTTCACTTGGAGTTCATAGATGTATGAACACAGAATCATAAACCACTTGGAGTTCATTGATGTATGAACACATCATCATAAACCACTTGGAGTTCATTGATGTATGAACACAGAGTTCATCATAAACCACTTGGAGTTCATTGATGTATGAACACAGCAACATAAACCACTTGGAGTTCACTTGGAGTTGATTGTTCATGATGTATGAACACATCATAAACCACTTGGAGTTCAACATAAACCACTTGGAGTTCATTGATGTATGAACACAGTATCACAAACCACTTGGAGTTCATTGATGTATGAACACATCATCATAAACCACTTGGAGTTCATAGATGTATGAACACAGAAACATAAACCACTTGGAGTTCATTGCTGTATGAAACACAGTATCACAAACCACTTGGAGTTCATTGATGTACACAGCATCATAAACCACTTAGAGTTCATAGATGTATGAACACAGAAACATAAACCACTTGGAGTTCATTGATGTATGAAACACAGCATCACAAACCACTTGGAGTTCATTGATGTATGAACACATCATCATAAACCACTTGGAGTTCATTGATGTATGAACACAGAAACATAAACCACTTGGAGTTCATTGATGTATGATGTACACAGCATCATAAACCACTTGGAGTTCATTGATGTATGAACAGTTCATTGATGTATGAACACAGAAACATAAACCACTTGGAGTTCAATGATGTATAAACACATCATCATAAACCACTTGGAGTTCATTGATACACAGAATCATAAACCACTTGGAGTTCATTGATGTACACAGCATAATAAACCACTTGGAGTTCATTGATGTATGAACACAGAAACATAAACCACTTGGAGTTCATTGATGTATAAACACATCATCAAAAACAATATGGAGTTCAATGATGTATGAACACAGAATCATAAACCACTTGGAGTTCATTGATGTATGAACACAGAATAAACCACAGTAAACCACTTGGAGTTCATTTCATTGATGTATGAACACATCATCATAAACCACTTGATGTATGAACACAGAAACATAAACCACTTGGAGTTCATTGATGTATGAACACACATAACATCACAAACCACTTGGAGTTCATTGATGTATGAACACACTTGGAGTTCATCACAGAAACATAAACCACTTTCATTGATGTACACACATCATAAATTAGAGTTCATGATGTAAACACAGAAACATAAACCACTTGGAGTTCATTGATGTATGAACACAGAATCATAAACCACTTGGAGTTCATTGATGTATGAACACAGAATCATAAACCACTTGGAGTTCATTGATGTATGAACACAGTATCATAAACCACTTGGAGTTCATTGATGTACACAGAATCATAAACCACTTGGAGTTCATTGATGTATGAACACAGAAACATAAACCACTTGGAGTTCATTGATGTATGAAACACAGTATCACAAACCACTTGGAGTTCATTGATGTACACAGCATCATAAACCACTTAGAGTTCATAGATGTATGAACACATCATCACAAACCACTTGGAGTTCATTGATGTATGAACACATCATCATAAACCACTTGGAGTTCATTGATGTATGAACACAGCATCATAAACCACTTGGAGTTCATTGATGTATGAACACAGAAACATAAACCACTTGGAGTTCATTGATGTATGAACACATCATCATTAACCACTTGGAGTTCATAAACACATCATCATAAACCACTTGGAGTTCATGATGTACACAGCATCACAAACCACTTGGAGTTCATTGATGTATGAACACATCATCATAAACCACTTGGAGTTCATTGATGTACACAGCATCATAAACCACTTCGAGTTCATAGATGTATGAACACAGAAACATAAACCACTTGGAGTTCATTGATGTATGAACACATCATCATAAACCACTTGGAGTTCATTGATGTACACAGCATCATAAACCACTTAGAGTTCATAGATATATGAACACAGAAACATAAACCACTTGGAGTTCATAGATGTATGAACACAGAAACATAAACCACTTGGAGTTCATTGATGTATGAAACACAGTATCACAAACCACTTGGAGTTCATAGATGTATGAACACAGAAACATAAACCACTTGGAGTTCATTGATGTATGAAACACAGAAACATAAACCACTTGGAGTTCATTGATGTATGAAACACAGAATCACAAACCACTTGGAGTTCATTGATGTATTAAACACATAAACATAAACCACTTGGAGTTCATTGATGTATGAACACATCATCATAAACCACTTGGAGTTCATAGATGTATGAACACAGAAACATAAACCACTTGGAGTTCATTGATGTATGAAACACAGAAACATAAACCACTTGGAGTTCATTGATGTATGAAACACAGTATCACAAACCACTTGGAGTTCATTGATGTACACAGCATCACAAACCACTTAGAGTTCATAGATATATGAACACAGAAACATAAACCACTTGGAGTTCAATGATGTATAAACACATCATCATAAACCACTTAGAGTTCATAGATGTATGAACACAGAAACATAAACCACTTGGAGTTCATTGATGTATGAACACAGAAACATAAACCACTTGGAGTTCATTGATGTATGAAACACAGTATCACAAACCACTTAGAGTTCATAGATGTATGAACACAGAAACATAAACCACTTGGAGTTCATTGATGTATGAACACATCATCATAAACCACTTGGAGTTCATTGATGTATGAACACAGCATCATAAACCACTTGGAGTTCATTGATGTATGAACACAGAAACATAAACCACTTGGAGTTCAATGATGTATAAACACATCATCATAAACCACTTGGAGTTCATTGATGTACACAGCATCATAAACCACTTGGAGTTCATTGATGTATGAACACATCATCATTATCCACTTGGAGTTCAATGATGTACACAGCATCATAAACCACTTAGATTTCATAGATGTATGAACACAGAAACATAAACCACTTGGAGTTCATTGATGTATGAACACATCATCATTAACCACTTGGAGTTCAATGATGTACACAGCATCATAAACCACTTAGAGTTCATAGATGTATGAACACAGAAACATAAACCACTTGGAGTTCATTGATGTATGAACACAGAAACATAAACCACTTGGAGTTCAATGATGTATAAACACATTATCACAAACCACTTAGAGTTCATAGATGTATGAACACAGAAACATAAACCACTTGGAGTTCATTGATGTATGAACACAGAAACATAAACCACTTGGAGTTCATTGATGTATGAAACACAGTATCACAAACCACTTGGAGTTCATTGATGTATGAACACATCATCATAAACCACTTGGAGTTCATAGATGTATGAACACAGAAACATAAACCACTTGGAGTTCATTGATGTATGAAACACAGAAACATAAACCACTTGGAGTTCATGATGTATGAAACACAGTATCATAAACCACTTGGAGTTCATTGATGTACACAGCATCACAAACCACTTAGAGTTCATAGATGTATGAACACAGAAACATAAACCACTTAGAGTTCATAGATGTATGAACACAGAAACACAAACCACTTGGAGTTCATTGATGTATGAAACACAGTATCACAAACCACTTGGAGTTCATTGATGTATGAACACAGAATCACAAACCACTTGGAGTTCATTGATGTATGAACACAACTTGGAGTTCAATGTTAAGTAAACATTGATGTACACAGCAACATAAACCACTTAGAGTATAAACCACTTAGAGTTCATAGATGTATGAACACAGAAACATAAACCACTTGGAGTTCAATGATGTATAAACACATCATCATAAACTATTTGGAGTTCATTGATGTATGAACACAGCATCATAAACCACTTGGAGTTCATTGATGTATGAACACATCATCATAAACCACTTGGAGTTCATAGATGTATGAACACAGAAACATAAACCACTTGGAGTTCATAGATGTATGAACACAGAAACATAAACCACTTGGAGTTCATAGATGTATGAACACAGAAACATAAACCACTTGGAGTTCATTGATGTATGAAACACAGCATCACAAACCACTTGGAGTTCATTGATGTATAAACACATCATCATAAACCACTTGGAGTTCATTGATGTATAAACACATCATCACAAACCACTTGGAGTTCATTGATGTATGAACACAGAAACATAAACCACTTGGAGTTCATTGATGTATGAACACATCATCATAAACCACTTGGAGTTCATTGATGTACACAGCATCATAAACCACTTAGAGTTCATTGATGTATAAACACATCATCACAAACCACTTGGAGTTCATTGATGTATAAACACATGATCATAAACTATTTGGAGTTCATTGATGTATGAACACAGCATCATAAACTATTTGGATTGTTGTATATAACATCTGGTTAGTAGTTTTCATCTTCAAAGAGGGGCAACCTAATCATGTTTTGTATGAGAATGTAATACTTACTTCTTTCCTCTAGGATAGTATCGTACATACTCCCCTAAATCATGGGCAGACACCGATAATATGAGTGGGTCCTTGCTGTCACTTAGTAATCGCACTAAAATTCTGTAAGAAAATTAAATCAATGTTGACTCTTGCACTAGATTAGACATATGTCCCCTACTGACCACAGCAGGAGCTGAAGAGGACAACCAGGTGGTACCTATCTGTAAGTAGATTTCTGCATAAACATCCTATGTAAGCATCAAAGTTTCATTTCTCACATTAAAAATTTTATTCTCACCTGAGTTGTTTAAAGTTCTGTATAATTTTACCCTTAATGTATCACATCAAATCAATCTAAGAAACAATTGTATCAAATCTTGGCATGCGAGAAACTTCAGGGCTGTCGGTTTAAACAGGTTAACATGACCAGTATGGGTTGTCTGACACGGTGTCACTTTACACAGGTTAACACGACCAGTATGGGTTGTCTGACAGGGTGTCACTTTACACAGGTTAACATGACCAGTATGGGTTGTCTGACAAGGGTGTCACTTTACACAGGTTAACACGACCAGTATGGGTTGTCTGACAGGGTGTCACTTTACACAGGTTAACATGACCAGTATGGGTTGTCTGACAGGGTGTCACTTTACACAGGTTAACACGACCAGTATGGGTTGTCTGACAGGGTGTCACTTTACACAGGTTAACACGACCAGTATGGGTTGTCTGACAGGGTGTCACTTTACACAGGTTAACACGACCAGTATGGGTTGTCTGACAGGGTGTCACTTTACACAGGTTAACACGACCAGTATGGGTTGTCTGACAGGGTGTCACTTTACACAGGTTAACACGACCAGTATGGGTTGTCTGACACAGTGTCACTTTACACAGGTTAACATGACCAGTATGGGTTGTCTGACAGGGTGTCACTTTACACAGGTTAACATGACCAGTATGGGTTGTCTGACACAGTGTCACTTTACACAGGTTAACACGACCAGTATGGGTTGTCTGACACAGTGTCACTTTACACAGGTTAACATGATTAGAATGGTATGTTTGACACAGTGTCACTTTACACAGGTTAACATGACCAGTATGGGTTGTCTGACACAGTGTCACTTTACACAGGTTAACATGACCAGTATGGGTTGTCTGACACAGTGTCACTTTACACAGGTTAACATGACCAGTATGGGTTGTCTGACAGGGTGTCACTTTACACAGGTTAACATGATTAGAATGGTATGTTTGACACAGTGTCACTTTACACAGGTTAACACGACCAGTATGGGTTGTCTGACAGGGTGTCACTTTACACAGGTTAACACGACCAGTATGGGTTGTCTGACAGGGTGTCACTTTACACATGTAACATTAACTGGGAGATGATATACAAATCTCATAAAAAACGAACGAATGCTTACTTGAGCAGCTCATAATTTTTCTCGTTTAATCGTGGTGCGTTTTCTCTCCAGAAGCGTTCCGACTTGTGTACTGGGCTCCATTCCAGTCGTCCTGACTTCACTTCTGAACAGTACTCATCAAACGAGCTGTAGACAGCCAGAAGAGAAAAATTGTCAAACATTGTAAACAGTAGTTCATCTGCAATAATAGTTATTTGTATGTGTAGAACTATGTAAAAAGTAAATGACGATATCTTAGAAAATGAAAACAATATTTCTTTGACTTTTTAGAACAAGTTTCCGTCAGTAGCATTATTTGATAAGAAGAAAGAAACCAAAAAAAAGGAAGATGTCCGTGGACGAAAATACCCGGGACGGACTTTCTTCGGTACGAAAATTCCCGGGACCATTAGGACAACCATACGCTGCACACCGCTTCCCTCCTCGATAGCAGCCATTTTAGTGGATTTAAGCGCTAATTCTCCGAACCCTCGTTCACTACCTTAAATGTTGCGAAGATGTGAAGTATTTTCGCGTAAATAAACAAAGAAATTACTCCGGAAAAATCCAAAAATAGATCACAATCACATGTAGAACAGTAATGCCAATATGGCTGCATCAGCAAAAGCATTGAACTTATGACGTCACAGGCTTGGATGCCCGAAAACGAGGTCAACGCCTCTTAACCAAAGGTGTGTTTTTCAGAAAAGTCACAATTTCTCATTAACAGAGCATTCCATGGCATTCGCGTTTTCTGCAATGTGTATTTTATGTGCAGAACTATTTTTAAGCTCAACATAGCTGACCTCTCAGGTTACACTTTAACTAAGGAAAGATGTCCGTGTTTTGGTCACTGGTAGCTGTACTTTACTAAGGAAAGATGTCTGTGTTTTGGTCACTGGTAGCTGTACTTAACTAAGGAAAGATGTCTGTGTTTTGGTCACTGGTAGCTGTACTTAACTAAGGAAAGATGTCTGTGTTTTGGTCACTGGTAGCTGTACTTAACTAAGGAAAGATGTCTGTGTTTTGGTCACTGGTAGCTGTACTTAACTAAGGAAAGATGTCTGTGTTTTGGTCACTGGTAGCTGTACTTAACTAAGGAAAGATGTCTGTGTTTTGGTCACTGGTAGCCAAATAATTATATGTAGAATCACACCAACTCTGAGTTAGATAACTGTAAATAACTGTGTTCCTGACCCTGTAACTGACTATAGAACACTAAGTGTATGTGTTTTGGTAACTGACTATAGCCAAACTAACTGTATATAGGTGTTCCTGACCCTGTAACTGACTATAGAACACTAACTGTGTATAGGTGTTCCTGACCCTGTAACTGACTATAGAACACTAACTGTATGTAGGTGTTCCTGACCCTGTAACTGACTATAGAACACTAACTGTATGTAGGTGTTCCTGACCCTGTAACTGACTATAGAACACTAAGTGTATGTAGGTGTTCCTGACCCTGTAACTGACTATAGAACACTAAGTGAATATAGGTGTTCCTGACCCTGTAACTGACTATAGAACACTAACTGTATATAGGTGTTCCTGACCCTGTAACGGACTATAGAACACTAAGTGTATGTAGGTGTTCCTGACCCTGTAACTGACTATAGAACACTAACTGTATGTAGGTGTTCCTGACCCTGTAACTGACTATAGAATACTAACTGTATGTAGGTGTTCCTGACCCTGTAACTGACTATAGAACACTAACTGTGTATAGGTGTTCCTGACCCTGTAACTGACTATAGAACACTAACTGTATGTAGGTGTTCCTGACCCTGTAACTGACTATAGAACACTAACTGTATGTAGGTGTTCCTGACCCTGTAACTGACTATAGAACACTAACTGTATGTAGGTGTTCCTGACCCTGTAACTGACTATAGAACACTAAGTGAATATAGGTGTTCCTGACCCTGTAACTGACTATAGAACACTAACTGTATATAGGTGTTCCTGACCCTGTAACTGACTATAGAACACTGACTGTATGTAGGTGTTCCTGACCCTGTAACTGACTATAGACCACTAACTGTATATAGGTGTTCCTGACCCTGTAACTGACTATAGAACACTAACTGTATGTAGGTGTTCCTGACCCTGTAACTGACTATAGAACACTAACTGTATGTAGGTGTTCCTGACCCTGTAACTGACTATAGAACACTAACTGTATATAGGTGTTCCTGACCCTGTAACTGACTATAGAACACTGACTGTATGTAGGTTTTCCTGACCCTGTAACTGACTATAGACCACTAACTGTATATAGGTGTTCCTGACCCTGTAACTGACTATAGAACACTAACTGTATATAGGTGTTCCTGACCCTGTAACTGATTCAGAGTCAGAAGAACACATACCTCAGATCCTGTACGGACTTTTGAAGGTTTTCATTTAGGAACAGAATGTCATCCACAATGTCCGGATCATCAAACTTTCGTGAGTCCAGCAGCTCCAGCTGTTTGAGAACCTTACATTGGACCATTGCTAGAGCATGGTCCTGAATCATCTCTGTCTCCTCAGGCTTCTCCAATAAGTTCTGCAATACATACACACATCAAAAGTTAGCAGATAAACTTGTTTTACATGCTTTCCTGTGTACCAAGGTGAATCCATGCATGTATGTGTGCATATGTTTATGTGTATGTATAAAGTTTGTATGTATGTTTGTACATATGTTTCTTTGCATCATTATTATACTCTCAATATATAACGTGTGTGTTCTATATGTAAGTGTATACATATGTATGTGTGTTTATGTATATGTATGTATTAGTGAGTGTGGGTATGTATGTGTGTAAGTAGGCATGTGAGTATGTACATGTACGTATGCATGTATGTGTATGTGTGTGCATACATTGTGTTTGCATGCATGTATGCATCCATGTTTGTATCTATATATTCATGCAAATATTTGTCTTTGTCTGTGTGAGCGTGTAAGGATGTGTCAATACATATTTGTCTTTGTCTGTGTGAGTGTGTAAGGATGTGTCAATGCATATTTGTCTTTGTGTGTGTGAGTGTGTAAGGATGTGTCAATACATATTTGTCTTTGTCTGTGTGAGTGTGTAAGGATGTGTCAATGCATATTTGTCTTTGTGTGTGTGAGTGTGTAAGGATGTGTCAATACATATTTGTCTTTGTCTGTGTGAGTGTGTAAGGATGTGTCAATACATATTTGTCTTTGTCTGTGTGAGTGTGTAAGGATGTGTCAATACATATTTGTAATATGTAAAAAACAAACAAAATGTTTACATGCTGCTGACTATTTTTTAATTCTCATAAAGTTCATAGTCCTTTGTGATTGAAGAAGAAAGTTTTTTTATCATGTAAGTCGAGAAAAAGATGTTTCTTTTCTATATCCAAGGTATTTATTTAATAGAGAAACATCTAAAAATAACCATTCTCCTACTCATTTTACTTATTCATCTGTTAAAAAGTTAAACATGTGTGACCAACAGTAATATTACTGAATTAACAGGTCATACTAATATTACAAAGCTGATACATGAGGTTAATATTTGAAAATAATTTCCTTTTATTTGAATGAAACGCCATGATTTAATGATTATAATATATCATTGTGGATTGTATCATTACTTCTAACCTAAGTTTTCAGAAACTGATAATGTGTTCTATATTTAGTAAGCTCAGAAAGTGATAATGTGTTCTGTGTTTAGTAAGCTCAGAAACTGATAATGTGTTCTGTGTTTAGTAAGCTCAGAAAGTGATAATGTGTTCTGTGTTTAGTAAGCTCAGAAACTGATAATGTGTTTTAGTAAGCTCAGAAACTAGTGTATTGTGTCCTTTGCCCAGAAGTTAGCTTTGAATGCCTGTCTCTATTTCATGCCTCAATCTCATATGATGAGGCCTGAGGTAAAACATTTGGGTGAGCACTGTATGATGTTCTCTCTGGGCAAGGAAATAATTACCATATTACGAGAGATTTTACAAAAACTTAATTAATATCTTAGAATTGTTAATATGGAAGAACTTTGACCACTTACCCGGAAAACTGCCAGGATGATTCGTGATACCTTTTCCTTCACATTTTCACTAAGAATGTCTGCTAATGTTGGGATTATATTGTATCTGAAACATCAAAACATTAATATTGAAAAACCTTTTCTGAAATCAATCATCAAGTTTCCCTTTAAGGAAAAATACAAAAATGGAATTGCATTGATGTGAAATGAATTCTGAAAAAAAAAAAAAAAATTTTCATTGGCTAGGTATATCATTATAGATAGTGTTCAGCTTTGAAAGTATTCAATAAGACTGTAGTGTATGATTTTATTATACTACAGTGTCTTGTACTTGTGGAAATGTGATAGAGCTCAAAATTGACAAATTCATTACTTTTCGTTAAACTTAACACAATAATTCATGAAGATTAGTGTGCTTTTATTTATGAAGAACACTTGAGACAGTCAGACTGGCATAGTTGACATGCTCAAACAGTATTTACTGCACCAGCCTGTCTCAGCTTATTTTCTTCATGTCAAACTGTTTCGATTTTTCTAACCCCTTACACAGTATGCGGAAATAGCCTTAGTTTTAATATGTCTCTATATAAGAAGACAGATATTGTATCATTCTTGCTATGATACAGCTGACAACAGTTCAGATTTATCTTCTAATGTTTGTCATGGTAACACATAATCAATTTAAATATTTGTACCAGATGTCTTACAAATAGATATTAAACAAATCTGCGATAAAGTTTGTACAACAGAACATCACAACACCTGGGTCAATGAATCACTTGACCCCAGATAAATGTCAAGGATGACGTAATAAATACACTTTGTTATCGATGCATCAACTAGGTAAGCTTTACTTGTTCATTCTTTCAGCTAATCCAGGGTTGAAGGTCAAACACCAAAGGCAAAAGGTCAACTGGTATTGAATTTGGAATCCCACCTTGCCAGCAAGAACTGAGACAATACTGAAAAAAAAGTTATAATAATACATGTGTAATACTAATTCTCTAACAGACAGAATATCTTTGTACTAACAAACAGAAAAAGTGTGATACTAATTCTCTAACAGACAGAATATCTTTGTACTAACAAACAGAAAAAGTGTGATACTAATTCTCTAACAGACAGAATATCTTTGTACTAACAAACAGAAAAAGTGTGATACTAATTCTCTAACAGACAGAATATCTTTGTACTAACAAACAGAAAAAGTGTGATACTAATTCTCTAACAGACAGAATATCTTTGTACTAACAAACAGAAAAAGTGTGATACTAATTCTCTAACAGACAGAATATCTTTGTACTAACAAACAGAAAAAGTGTGATACTAATTCTCTAACAGACAGAATATCTTTGTACTAACAAACAGAAAAAGTGTGATACTAATTCTCTAACAGACAGAATATCTTTGTACTAACAAACAGAAAAAGTGTGATACTAATTCTCTAACAGACAGAATATCTTTGTACTAACAAACAGAAAAAGTGTGATACTAATTCTCTAACAGACAGAATATCTTTGTACTAACAAACAGAAAAAGTGTGATACTAATTCTCTAACAGACAGAATATCTTTGTACTAACAAACAGAAAAAGTGTGAATAACAGACAGAATATCTTAACAACAGACAGAATGTACTAACAAACAGAAAAAGTGTGATACTAATTCTCTAACAGACAGAATATCTTTGTACTAACAAACAGAAAAAGTGTGATACTAATTCTCTAACAGACAGAATATCTTTGTACTAACAAACAGAAAAAGTGTGATACTAATTCTCTAACAGACAGAATATCTTTGTACTAACAAACAGAAAAAGTGTGATACTAATTCTCTAACAGATCTTACTAACAAACAGAAAAAGTGTGAGAAAAAGTGTGATACTAATTCTCTAACAGTATCTAACAAACAGAAAAAGTGTGATACTAATTCTCTAACAGACAGAATATCTGTACTAACAAACAGAAAAAGTGTGATACTAACAAACAGAAAAACAAACAGTGTGATACTAATTCTCTAACAGACAGAATATCTTTGTACTAACAAACAGAAAAAGTGTGATACTAATTCTCTAACAGACAGAATATCTTTGTACTAACAAACAGAAAAAGTGTGATACTAATTCTCTAACAGACAGAAAAAAGTATCTTTCTCTAACAGTATCTAACAAACAGAAAAAGTGTGATACTAATTCTCTAACAGACAGAATATCTTTGTACTAACAAACAGAAAAAGTGTGATAACTAATTCTTTGTACTAACAGACAGAATATCTTTGTACTAACAAACAGAAAAAGTGTGATACTAATTCTCTAACAGACAGAATATCTTTGTACTAACAAACAGAAAAAGTGTGATACTAATTCTCTAACAGACAGAATATCTTTGTACTAACAAACAGAAAAAGTGTGATACTAATTCTCTAACAGACAGAATATCTGTACTAACAAACAGAAAAAGTGTGATACTAATTCTCTAACAGACAGAATATCTTTGTACTAACAAACAGAAAAAGTGTGATACTAATTCTCTAACAGACAGAATATCTTTGTACTAACAAACAGAAAAAGTGTGATAATAATTCTCTAACAGACAGAATATCTTTGTACTAACAAACAGAAAAAGTGTGATACTAATTCTCTAACAGACAGAATATCTTTGTACTAACAAACAGTACTAACAAACAGAAAAAGTGTGATACTAATTCTCTAACAGACAGAATATCTTTGTACTAACAAACAGAAAAAGTGTGATACTAATTCTCTAACAGACAGAATATCTTTGTACTAACAAACAGAAAAAACCAGATCCTCATACCTTGACTAGTATTTATTATGCAGTGTTTTAAATAATTTTGACCTACTGTAGAGTTTTGTATAATGTAAATATGATAAATTGTTATCTTTGGTATAGCCCTTTACATTGTACAAATTAATATTGATTTCAAACTTATGAACACAACAACTTTTTAATCAAGTTTGTTTTCTGGTCATTAGCTTATACAGATTTTAATGCCTTGTCCTAATGAAGATATCCTGATCCAGCGTTTTTATGGCCATTACAGTCAATCAATTGTACGGTTAGTACAAAGTTGTTCTTTAAAAAGCATAAACTTTATTTATTTTACATCAACTGCAGAACAAGCTCCACATATAAGTCACTCTTTGTCCATCCTGATTAATTCCTGAAATATTACAATGAATGTGTGAAAGAATTCATTTGTTTGCATAAACAAAAAGGCCCTGGTTATAAATTGTCAAAATAAAATTTACAGAAGGGAGACAACTCACGTTGATATGCCATCCACTTCAACAAACACCTGTCTGTATGTGTCTATGCGTAACATCATCTGTAGACACCTTGCTGCTGTCTGCATGTATTCGTTACCTGGCTGTCGGAGCTGATCCTTCAGCCAGTTCAGATAAAACTTGAGATCCTCTGTTCCCATCAACTCTTTACTCCAGCATGCTATCTTAGCAATTATTCGGCTTGTCTGTAAAACAAGAATCATATTTTACCCTTTAGATATTTTTTAGTGTCTTAATCCTATTGAAGTGTCTTATTAAATACTGTAAACTGGGATGTTTCTTAGTGTCTTAATTCTATTGTGTTGTCTTATTGAATACTGTAAACTGGGATATATTAGTTTCTCTCATTTCCACCTGTGTCAGATAGGCCTGTCCAGGGCAATAAACATGGTCATGATAGACGTTTATTACACAGGCGCCTGTGTAATAAAGCCTCGCGCGCGGAGTAATTCATAGCTTTTTCCCGCGCACTCATCGGCTATGTCCTCGTCATCCGCTTCATCCACAAACACGCATAGTCGATTGGAGTCATTGTTTGCAGGCTCCTATTAACAAAACTGTTTTATAAATATCAACATCACCAACCCAGGGGACTCGGCCTTTCCGCCGTCGTCCACGTGTGATTGAAAGTGACAATGACTAACTTTCCTCCTGTCGGTGTGGCGCGAAATGTGTGACGTAAGTGACGTCATCTCACAAGCAAACCAAGAATTCCATTCATAAATGTGTAAGATTTGTAAGATTACTATTGACAGTGAAGTAGTATTAATAACTTGACCAACATGTTCAAAGATGTTAAATGTGTTTATGATATATTATACATTGAGCAATAGTAAATATTAAAAAGAAAAGTGTTGTTTTATTGCGTGTTTTAAGGCACTATATTTGAACGCGTACGCATGTCTCTGGGTGATATATTTGACAGGGTATTTGACCCAGCCCGCTTGAAGAAAAAACAGTTAAACACTGACGTTGGGTGTTTACATTCAAAGTCCATATTATGTTTTCGACCGCAAACATAGTTTGCAAAATTCGGGGATGGAGAATCTATTTCAGCATATTTTTTATGTATATGGCCCAAGGAAAAAAATAGAAATCTGAAAAATGGCGGCGTCCAGTGATGGCTACCGCGAGGCGAGTGCAAATATTTGATAATATGAGATTAGAAATGAGAGAAAAAAACTCTTTTCTATATGGGTTTGTAGGATAGGATATCCCTATCCTACATACCCATATAGGGATCACTTAATTCTATTGTGTTGTCTTAAATACCCTAAACTGGGATATATTAGCCTATTGTGTTTTACCACATTGTTGTGACCCCTGGGTATATTAGTGTCTTAATTCTATTGTGTTGTCTTATAATACTGTAAACTGGGATATATTAGTGCCTTAATTCTATTGTGTTGTCTTATTGAATACTGTAAACTGGGATATATTAGTGTCTTAATTCTATTGTGTTGTCTTATTGAATACTGTAAACTGGGATATATTAGTGTCTTAATGCTATTGTGTTGTCTTATTGAATACTGTAAACTGGGATATATTAGTGTCTTAATGCTATTGTGTTGTCTTATTGAATACTGTAAACTGGGATATATTAGTGTCTTAATTCTATTGTGTTGTCTTATTGAATACTGTAAACTGGGATATATTAGTGTCTTAATTCTATTGTGTTGTCTTATTGAATACTGTAAACTGGGATATATTAGTGTCTTAATTCTATTGTGTTGTCTTATTGAATACTGTAAACTGGGATATATTAGTGTCTTAATTCTATTGTGTTGTCTTATTGAATACTGTAAACTGGGATATATTAGTGTCTTAATTCTATTGTGTTGTCTTATTGAATATTGTAAACTGGGATATTTTTGCATCAGGTTATTATCTCCCTCATTCCATTACATACAAATCGCCTGCTGATGATAATGATATCAAACGTTATGTAAGTGTAATAAATTTCTGAAATTTGTCTTCCTTGCTCTGGGGATAAAATGGGCAAAAATTAAACAGGTAAATAAAGGCGAACACAAATTGTCCTCCACAGAATAGGCAGTGTGAAACACTTTCTCAGGATATGTTATAAATGACACTGAAAATGACCTTAAAATGACCTTAAAATGACCCATTGACATTAATACATTCAAACACATAAATTTGACCTCAACTCTAATACAACTAAAAGCATCACAGCATCAAAGGGGCAGTCTGTTTGTAACATAACAAATGCTATTACTTGGAGTAACTGTCCTTCCTATGGACAAAAACCTTAATAACACAGTATGGTATGTGATTTCCAGAAAACCACTAACTGCCTTTCATAGAGATTACACGACACACCTCAGACTTTCACCTGTGAAACACAAATTGCCCTGAGTGGGAATCACACCACACACCTCAGACTTTCACCTGTGAAACACAAATTGCCCTGAGTGGGAATCACACCACACACCTCAGACTTTCACCTGTGAAACACAAATTGCCCCAAAAAGGGATCACACCACACACCTCAGACTTTCACCTGAGAAACACAAATTGCCATGAGTGTGAATCACACGACACACCTCAGACTTTCATCTGAGAAACACAAATTGCCCTGAGTGGGAATCACACCACACGCCTCAGACTTTCACCGGAGAAACACAAATTGCCCCGAGTAGGGATCACACCACACACCTCAGACTTTCACCTGAGAAACACAAACTGCCCCAAGTAGGGATCACTCCACACACCTCAGACTTTCACCTGTGAAACACAAATTGCCCTGAGTAGGGATCATGCCACACACCTCAGACTTTCACCTGACAAACACAAATTGCCCTGAGTAGGGATCACGCCACACACCTCAGACTTTCACCGGAGAAACACAAATTGTCCCAAGTAGGGATCACACCACACACCTCAGACTTTCACCTGAGAAATACAAATTGCCATGAGTGTGAATCACACGACACACCTCAGACTTTCACCTGTGAAACACAAATTGCCCCAAAAAGGGATCACACCACACACCTCAGACTTTCACCTGAGAAACACAAATTGCCATGAGTGTGAATCACACGACACACCTCAGACTTTCATCTGAGAAACACAAATTGCCCTGAGTGGGAATCACACCACACGCCTCAGACTTTCACCGGAGAAACACAAATTGCCCCGAGTAGGGATCACACCACACACCTCAGACTTTCACCTGAGAAACACAAACTGCCCCAAGTAGGGATCACTCCACACACCTCAGACTTTCACCTGTGAAACACAAATTGCCCTGAGTAGGGATCATGCCACACACCTCAGACTTTCACCTGACAAACACAAATTGCCCTGAGTAGGGATCACACCACACACCTCAGACTTTCACCTGTGAAACACAAATTGCCCTGAGTAGGGATCATGCCACACACCTCAGACTTTCACCTGACAAACACAAATTGTCCCAAGTAGGGATCACACCACACACCTCAGACTTTCACCTGAGAAATACAAATTGCCATGAGTGTGAATCACACGACACACCTCAGACTTTCACCTGAGAAACACAAATTGCCCTGAGTGGGAATCACACCACACACCTCAGACTTTCACCTGACAAACACAAATTGCCCTGAGTAGGGATCACGCCACACACCTCAGACTTTCACCTGAGAAACACAAATTGCCCTGAGTAGGGATCACGCCACACACCTCAGACTTTCACCTGAGAAACACGAATTGCCCCGAGTAGGGATCACACCACACACCTCAGACTTTCACCTGGGGACCTTCCACAAGATGTTCTGCAGTAACTGACCCCTTATAATGTCAGTATTTAACTCTGATACTCTCTGATATTAGAACAAGGACACAGTATGTGGCCAATGAATGTGTTGCTTACAGGAAAAATGGTAAACATAAATCCCCATTCATTTGAGATGTAACACAACACATGATTTGTGAACAGAAATACAGACAGTATGATCAGAATGTACTATATGTTATCTCGTCAGGATGACAATTATTAATGTCTCCATTGACTGGAATCCACAATGTGACCCTGGACCATTTCTCGAATTTGTATGTTATTAACCAATCAAAAGCAAGGAAACATAAACTTCTTTAATATTGTGCAAAAACTGAACTATATCATGTTTTCACTCATTAAAATCTACACATATTAGAAAAGGTATTACCCTACTGTTTTTAAAAATTGCTGCAGTGATTTGTCTATCACAAATATCTGCTTTACAGTCTCTGTGTCACTTAGCTCAGACAGTATGATCAAGATATACCCCCCCCCCCCCAGTGTTAACTTACTTGATACACAATAAACCGATCATCCCTGTTCAGTAAATGGAGGAAAGGAGTCCACACCGATTCCTTGCTGCGTTTTGCAAATCCTTTAAATATGTCCACTCTTGATTTATCTTCCTGTTAATAAATAGTACCATGTAAACATAAATAAATGGAAAAACATCTCATCACATCAGTGTTTTAAATAATGGAACTGTGACTTTCATAATTCGTAACCAAAAGTTAATTACACAAGACAGAGATTCTAGTTGGTGTCATACTCTCATACAAACCTGAAGGACGTCATCAAGCATCGTAAGTATGTACTGAAGGGTCTGGTCTTTCGCAATTTGACTCATCAGGTTGAAAAAAGTCCTGGCAAACTGCAAGGATAGAAAGTTGTATATAACTTAAACTACACATGATGATTCTCCAATCTTTCATTTTACTCAAGTTGATGACTAGATTTATCTATCTTTTTTTTCAATTTGGCACAAATCTTTCTTTTACAGTAAAAATCTGTGAGTTTGAAAGCCAGTTAAAGTAATTTTTATTACAAATGAATTGATAGCAATTTATTGCCAGAGAGGTTTGCCCCCTTTGGACACCATTATTGAATTTTGAAAAACTTGTGACTAAAGTTACTTTAGGGTTTAAACACATTTCATTTGTGATTTTGATGGCTGTTTATATGTTCATTTTGATTAAAAGTTTGGTTAACCTTGAAAAAACCGTGACACTTTCAACATGTTTGACTTCTTTGACCTAAAATGAGAATCAAGGCCATTTTACAAAATTAACATCCTTTCAAGAAAGACTACATGAGCAAGACAACTCCTAGAACTACAGGAAAACACTATTTGAAAAACATATACCTGGCATTTTAAGTGTGTTTCTGCTAGCTAAACAGACCATAAATTTTACACAGTAAAGGTTTTCTGGATCGTTACCATGTAATCAAAAGTATATTCTATGTAAATTGTATTTTAAACATAAGGAGACATCCGACATTCCTACCCTGTTTTTTCTGACCTGTTAGTGGAAAGAATAGTATCATTTTTTTAGGCCTTTAAGGATTTTCAGACAGATAATGGAAATGTGTTAACGTATTTGATATAAATGATCCTTAACCCTTTACTCCCTGATAAAGGAAGTAGAAATATTTTTAGTATTTTTGGAAGTGATACGAACCTACTGAAACACAATCAGATTTTTGTCTTACACGTAAGAAATGGTATCTGAGAAAAGATTAAGGAAATTCAACCTGGTGAAAGGCTTAAATCATCTTTTTTACGCGATACTTGTTTGAATTTGTGATACCAAGAATTTCTAGGCAGAGAGTGAATCACAAAGTCCCGTGAAATGAATCACAAAGGCAATTAAAATTCGAAGTCCTAAGACCAATTTTTTCGTAACAGTGAATATAATATGATTTTACAGTGAAATTCGGAACCCAGACTTTGTTTTCACAGAAATTTTAAACCTATACACTACGATACACAAAAATTAGATTTATAAACGCTGGAGCATCACGCGACTGGAGAGTGACATTGTGTAGTGTCCTCCAACATATCAGCATTTCTGACTGAATCTTAGTTATCTTGGAGAGAACAGTCATGTAATTATTTGTGTTGTTTCCTAATTGTATTATTTTGTTTTTTCATGGATTATGTCAAGAAATGGAGCAAATGATTGACAAAACATTCTAATTTAAGTAACAGAGATCACATGATCATTGTTTTATCCAAGATGGCTGTGCGACACATGTTTAGGTCAAACTGATTGGTAATTGGTATTTGTTATTGAATTGCGTGATTTCCAAACATTTTTAACATGTCATTAACATCATATTTTGCATTCTCGTTCCTGGTCATATGATTTTATCAACCAGTAAAGTGATGATTTTTGTTGTCATGGAAGTTATGATGCGTTCTTTCAAAATCTGAAAAATGGCTTCAGATACTGAAAGTTCCAACAGTGAAAACTTTGAGGGGTTCGATCCTCAGGAAGCTAAAGATACAGAAAATTTCATGGCGATGCTTAGACACCAAGGCATTGGAGATGATGTTGCTGAGACACCAAGGCATCAGAGATGATGTTGCTGAGACACCAAGGCATCGGAGATGATGTTGATGAGACACCAAGGTATCGGAGATGATGTTGCTGAGACACCAAGGCATCGGAGATGATGTTGTAAGCGATGTATAAACTGACATCAATGATTCAGATTGTGAGGCCGATCAGTGCTATGCAGAAATTGTTCCTGGCCCCGGGGGAGTGGCAAATGATGAGAACGGATGGCACACTAGATTTAAATATTTTGAGAGGGGTCTACTGCACATCTTCACACCACGAGGGAACACAGGACCCACAAGGTCAATGACTTCTGATAAGGAACCAATATACTTTTTATCCCTGTTCTTTAGATTCTGTACTGATCAACTTATGATAGAGAAGACAGGAAGATATGCCTGCCAGCAGATTGATGCACATCCAGGACAAAACCAACAGCCTTGGAAGGATGTAAGCATTGAAGAAATGAAGGCTTTCCTCGGACATGGCAATGTGGGTAACCAGGAAACCATCAATAAAACTTTACTGGTCATCAGATGCCTACTTCGAAATGCCTCTCTTCACAAGTATCAGTCAAATTCTGCGGTACCTGCATTTTTCGAATAACAATTTGGAACAGGAACCAAACAACCCCACCTATGACCCCTTGTTCCAAATTTGGACCGTTGTAACACACCTAAATGAGATGTTCGTACAAGATTATGTTCTACGCAGGTGTGTAACAGTTGATGAATGCATGATTCCCTTCAAAGGAAAAGTTCACTTCAAGCAGTACATGAGACTGAAGCCCCACAAATGGGGTATGAAAGTGTGGGTGTTGGCCGAGTCGGATTGCAGCTATGTCCACTATGTTGACATATATCCAGGTAAATATAATGAATTGGTGATATAAAATTCCAGTACTGAATGTTGTACAGCCATCAAAAGTTATCTGGTACACTTCATAAAATATTCCCTGAGCCAGTGTACTCATGACAATAGAATTGCAAATGTATACTTTACATACATGCACATGATAGAAATGATTAGGTAACATCAATTTTGTTGCCAAAACCCTATTTCATTACAATGAGGTTTTCCTCTGTGTAAATGATAAAAACACAGTTACCAGGGACTCCATCCTAAATCTTCAACACAAGCTTCTTTTCAAAGTGGTCCTGTTCAGTGGTGACCTTTCACCTTTAAGCTTGACCTATAACCACCAAAATCTTCTCTGATTTTGACCTTGGTGGTATGATGCTATGGTGTGAATATTAACCCAATTCGTACTGGGGTTAAGAAATTTGCGGGGACTATGTGTGACAAATAAGGGTTCTCCCACATTCAGATTCATTTTATAATATGACAAAAATCACCAAATATATAGGGCCTAACTACAGATGATTTCCTTCTCAACTGATCAATTTTCTTTCCAAGATCAAAATGAGATAAAAAGGCCCTTTCCAAAGAGAGCAGAAAAGAACTCTGAACATGTATACATGATTATCATCGCCAGATACACAATGTGATTAATATATCCTCTCCCTCTCCCCAAGTCCAGGGTATAATTGGCCACATATTAAAACTGCTCAATTAAGAGCAATATACAACATTTCTGTTTCATTGTAGAAAGATAGCATCATGCAGAAGGAGCTGTCACCAGTAGAGTTGTAAACAAATGTTTACAAGGGGCTGATATCCAAGGTCGAGGTTATCATGTATATGGAGAACTTTTATACCTCACCTGACTTACATCTCTTTTCACTGAGAAAACTTATGATTGTGGTACTGTAGGGTCCAACCGCCGTGGTCTGCCACAGGTTATCATGTAGAAAAGGCCAGATGGTATAACCAACAGGGGCGATATGGCCTTCAGACAAAAAGGCTCACTTACAGCAGTCGTGTGTAAGGACAAAAAATATGTCACCGTGCTGTCTACCATACATGATGAAACAACTACAGAGGTCCAACGCCTTGTTATACAGCAAAATGGAACCTTTGCCAGACAAAAATTCATTTTGCTCTAAAATGATCGCTGATTATAATTCCTCCACGGGTGGGGTGGACAAGGCAGACCAATACATGCAGTATTACTCTTTCAACTACAAAATCAGAAAATGGACTCTCAAAGTGTTTTTTCGTCTCATGGAAATCATGAAACTGAATGCCTATCAGCTTTTCGTTCAAAGTCCACACCACATGCCAGGACAGGGTAAACAACAGCTATCCTTCTTCAAATTAACACACTGTCATATGTGGACTGGTGGATGGGTTCACCTCTACTTCCTGGAAAGGAAGGCCATCTCTGTTGCCCCTAGATGATCGCCTTACACAGAGGCATCTACCTACTACCCTACCATCTAAATGAGATGCAAAAGTGGACAGCAGAATAAGGCCGACCAAACAAAATTTGGTTGAATAGGACGCAGAAAACATCTTTGTCTCCCTTCATGCTTCTCTGTTTATCATTCACAAGTAAAATATTTCTAGGAACAAGAACACTTAGTATTCCTGTCAGTACTAATGTGTTTGAGGATTGACCCACCACCTGCCACTTAGTATTCCTGTCAGTACTAATGTGTTTGAGGATTGACCCACCACCTGCCACTTAGTATTCCTGTCAGTACTAATGTGTTTGAGGATTGACCCACCACCTGCCACTTAGTATTCCTGTTCTAATGTGTTTGAGGATTGACTGTCAGTACTAATGTGTTTGAGGATTGACCCACCACCTGCCACTTAGTATTCCTGTCAGTACTAATGTGTTTGAGGATTGACCCACCACCTGCCACTTAGTATTCCTGTCAGTACTAATGTGTTTGAGGATTGACCCACCACCTGCCACTTAGTATTCCTGTCAGTACTAATGTGTTTGAGGATTGACCCACCACCTGCCACCAAGGACTACCAAGTCTCTTAAATCCTAATGAAAATTACAAAAAAAAGATGGATATTCAAAGATAAGTGCATGTTGCATTTGAAACACAAAACTTGAAAAAAACCCCAACCCCCGAAAAAAATTCACTGTGTTGTTTATTGTCTTAATTTATTTTCTTTATTTTTTTCTTTATTCATTTCTTTCATCTTTTTTCATTTTCTCATGGCTGTTACTTAATATGTATCTTAGTGTTGTACTCCCTGATGATGGAGTTATCTTCTTGAAATAGGACAGTGTTGTCGAAATGGCAACTAATTTCAATCAAAGTCGAAAATTTGCCGTAAGTACATGCTACCTCAAACTTTTAAAACAGTTCGAAGCGATTTACATAGTTCTATCTAATAAGTTTAACATTTCATTTAAGATCATTTGATTCCTTGCCTCTGCTACGAATGTAGGTCTTGTTATCGCCACAAAACAAAAGGGCAAAATTTAGTCTTCATTTATCCCCAAGATTAACACGTCAATCAGGCAAGTCATTGATGTTTTGTCGTGAATTCATGTATTGTTTCAGTGTTTAGAATGATAAATCTTCCTTTAGGAAAAGCTGTGTGCAGATTATTTCAGGATCTGAATACCTGTCATGCAATTTAATTCAGTAACGAAAGTGTTAAATAGATCATTTATTTGTTAAATCATAACATCTTATCTTCAACATGCTACAACTACAAAATAAACATAATTCAATCCAGACATAATAGAATAATACATTTCAATTCTATTTTTTTTGTAAATTTTATGTCCCATCAAAGCCATGGTAGGTGAAACTCAAGTTGACAGCATTCCTACTAAAAACTCAAAACTTAATTGCCATCCCAGTTTGTTGTGACCTACCACCTCCTTTATCTTTTATTGTCCTTTTTGTCTTAAACAAACTTGATAGGATGATACTAAACCTCAAAAATTCACAAACCTCAAAAACAAAATAATATTCTACTAATACTTAATTGTTACTTACCTGTAATGGGTTTTCAGTTAGGATAGCTCGTCGACCATCACTGTTAGCTGTGTCAAATTTTGAGATGAAGGAAAAGTCTTCAGATGAAATCATCTGTCCCCTTAAAATAGATTTCATTTCTTCATCAAATCTTAAAGTAAACTTTCAAAAAATTTCTCTCCCAAATTTCCTGTTTACTGTAAAAGTTGTTGTTTATCTGGATAAAAATTGTCAACAACTTTACTAAAAGCATGAAGCTAAAATGAAATAATGAAACTGATTACAATTTTTTTCAATTTCATTTTTTAGTCCTTTTTCTCCCTTAAACTTCGTTCAAAGTAACGACCTGTGAAATATATGAAATTTCTGTTTTGTGAGAAGTTCTAACGTGTCCTACACTTTCCTGATAGGGAAGCTTTCATGAGGGGTGATCTGTTTTATATACAATGGTCTTTAACCTTTAGCTACTTCAAGCATCGTATTCAACTGACCTTCAATATTTCATTTAAATTTCTAATATTGATACAACACTATCCAATAGAGAATCGTAATCTCTCACTAAAAAATCTAACGTCACAGTTCTTTGATTCTGTAACATCTTTCCCTATTGTAAAATGACCTCACATCTGTTGTACTCTAAAAAAGATAAATCACTGAATATTTAAATAACTCAGTAGACAATGTTCTGAAATATGAACTAAATAAGATGTGTTAATAAAACGCTTTGCTCCCGAAACCTATTCTGAAGTGGGACATTCAAATTGTACTATGGTAGGCATGTGTTGTTAAAACGCTATGACCCATAAACCTATTCTGAAGTGGGACATTCAAACTGTACTATGTTAGGCATGTGTTAATAAAACGCTTTGCTCCCGAAACCTATTCTGAAGTGGGACATTCAAACTGTACTATGTTAGGCATGTGTTAATAAAACGCTTTGCTCCCGAAACCTATTCTGAAGTGGGACATTCAAACTGTACTATGGTAGGCATGTGTTGTTAAAACGCTATGACCCATAAACCTATTCTGAAGTGGGACATTCAAACTGTACTATGTAAGGCATGTGTTAATAAAACGCTATGACCCATAAACCTATTCTGAAGTGGGACATTCAAACTGTACTATGTAAGGCATGTGTTAATAAAACGCTATGACCCAGAAACCTATTCTGAAGTGGGACATTCAAACTGTACAATGTAAGGCATGTGTTAATAAAACGCTATGACCCAGAAACCTATTCTGAAGTGGGACATTCAAACTGTACTATGTAAGGCATGTGTTAATAAAACGCTATGACCCAGAAACCTATTCTGAAGTGGGACATTCAAACTGTACTATGTTAGGCATGTGTTAATAAAACACTTTGCTCCCGAAACCTATTCTGAAGTGGGACATTCAAACTGTACTATGGTAGGCATGTGTTGTTAAAACGCTATGACCCATAAACCTATTCTGAAGTGGGACATTCAAACTGTACTATGTAAGGCATGTGTTAATAAAACGCTATGACCCATAAACCTATTCTGAAGTGGGACATTCAAACTGTACTATGTAAGGCATGTGTTAATAAAACGCTATGACCCAGAAACCTATTCTAAAGTGGGACATTCAAACTGTACTATGTAAGGCATGTGTTAATAAAACGCTATGACCCAGAAACCTATTCTGAAGTGGGACATTCAAACTGTACTATGTAAGGCATGTGTTAATAAAACGCTATGACCCAGAAACCTATTCTGAAGTGGGACATTCAAACTGTACTATGTTAGGCATGTGTTAATTGCAAGCACACTTTGTATAACACTTATCTCTTGCACACTTTGTATAACACTTATCTCTTGCACACTTTGTATAACACTTATCTCTTGCACACTTTGTATAACACTTATCTCTTCATTGTGCAACAGTTAAGGCAAATGCAGGTCAAAGGTCATGGTTGAGGTCACATGGTGAAAAATCTTGGTAACACCAGAAAGGCCTTGTCACAAGGAACACACATACTAAGTGTGACAGCCATACCACTTATGGTGCAAGAGTTATCGTTCAAATGTAGGTCAAAGGTCAGGATCGAGGTCACATGGTCAAAACTTTTGATACCATTGGAAATGTCTTCACACAAGGAACACAAATGCTAAATATGAAAGCCAGGCTACCTCTTATAGTGCAATTGTTATGGGCAAGGTTAAAGTTGACAACAAACAGACAAACAGACAGAACATAAACAATATGCCCATGATCTTTCGATCCTGGGGCATCAAGACTGAAGACTTACTGAAGGTAGGACTGCCAATTAACACGATTGGCACGGACATCGTTAGCTCGTTGCTGAAGTAAGCTAGTGGCCACTTGTGCACCTAAAAAATAAAGCAAATACAACATTACCTTGTCTTCAGCATTTATTATGACATACAAGATCATTTACAGTCTTTTAATGACCATCTGTTAAAAGAATAAAAAACAAAGTTAAAACAATACAACAAAATCTGAATCCAGCAGTTGTATATTTGACCAGATTACAGGTTAAAACTTACAGGGATCTTGTAACAGGTGTATATTTTGACCTATCTTGTCCACAGGGACCTGAGAACTTTGAACTGTCATGACCACAGGGACCTGAGAACTTTGAACTGTCATGAAAACAGGGACCTGAGAACTTTGAACTGTCATGGCCACAGGGACCTGAGAACTTTGAACTGTCATGGCCACAGGGACCTGAGAACTTTGAACTGTCATGGCCACAGGGACCTGAGAACTTTGAACTGTCATGGCCACAGGGACCTGGGAACTTTGAACTTTCATGGCCACAGGGACCTGAGAACTTTGAACTGTCATGACCACAGGGACCTGAGAACTTTGAACTGTCATGGCCACAGGGACCTGAGAACTTTGAACTGTCATTACCACAGGGACCTGAGAACTTTGAACTGTCATGGCCACAGGGACCTGAGAACTTTGAACTGTCATGGCCACAGGGACCTGAGAACTTCTATGGGTGTATTTTGACCTGCCTTGTCTGCAGAGATCTGGAAACTTGTTAAAGGTAAATTTGAAGCTGTTTTAATCACAGGGACATGTCCCTGTGTTATTATCAGAGAATACAGTTTATATCGCACAACTGTCCACAACTGTCCAAACAACATCAAACAATCAGGTGTAAGAAATCATACATCACTGTTTAAATACAGAGATCTTTTGAACAAAATGTCGGGGACAATTTGTTAATTTGACCTAATAAGTTACATATATAGCTTATTCCACAATAAGCCCAGTGGATCAACACATAAGTCACACTCAAAGTAGGAAGTTTGGCAGCCTAACAATAAACAGTGTCTCTGGTACTGTGTGTTTCTACTGAAACCATTTTAAGTAAGTAGTAATTGAAATAAAAGGTTATTTAGGCAAACGTTCCAACTGACTGAGCTGTCATAGTTGAGAAGGCATATTGTTGTTGATTGATATGGTGCCAAGATGATGAATCAAAATGGAGACAATCAGTAAGGAAATGTAGAATGTTAGGAAAGAGGATGGTATTCGGAAATGAAATAGTTCTCTTAATCTTGTACATAGATGAAATGATATCTGATTGGTCAAATCAGGAAAACTGTTCACGCTGACAGGAACAACCGAAATCATATTGATCAGAATATCACGTAATGACAGACTTTAATTCTCTTCTTGATATTGTATTGGAGTTTCAAGAAAGCAACTTTTTTTTCTTTCATTAGACCTCATTTGAACTCTGACCTTTTGTTTGCAGATAGCGTGATGTTATTACATTATCCATACAGATCTCTGTGTCTCCTGTCATGTGAATTTTGTGGCACCGAGCCGGTTCAGAGTTACTACGACTGAAGAACCACAGTTTTGAGTCTGATGTCTGTCCCTCTGCTCCATTAGAATCATTTACGATATATGTATTAGATCTCCTCATGACTCCACAAAAATAGCTGTGAAATTACTAATCAGCTGAAACTTTCTCTAGTGTAGTATACAATATAGCTTAGCACTTTTTAAAAAACTTTCAAATCAAATCAACATTTCAGAAATCAACATATTGTTTCCCAATGAGAAAAATAACTTAAGCACATCCAGATGTATCCAACAAAAAAGTCTTTCTTAGCGGTTAAAATCAAATAACTGAAAAACGGTCAGCAGAAAGCTCCCTGTTCCATCATTATCAGCACATTTGGAAACTGAAGTAACGATTACTGACAGGATGCTGTCTCCAAGAGGTTGTTTCTGTGATTTTTTGAGTATAATTTATAGTTGTAACACATACTCCAGAAGGTTTCATATGGTGTTAGTATACCAGAGTAGGAATTATATATGCTGATAATGTATGTCGATCTATCACATCAACACCCTGGATACTCTCTGTAACCCCTGGAGCATGTATGTGTAAGTTACTATGTAGCCTTAAGGTAATACATGTACGTCACCTTTTAGCTACAAACCGACCATATCACATACAATGTATGACCTACATTCTGTTATCAGACATTTAACCCCACCCCCCACTCCCAAAAAAAAAAAAAAAAAAATTGTGTATCATAAGACAATTTTATTACTACATGTCAATTTCCTCATTGAAACATTTTCTGGTGCAAAATTTGATTTCAATTGATGTTAATACATCCTATTTACCATGGGCTATACAGTATACATCAATATAAGTCAAGCTGATAATTACATCCAGGAAGTTGCACATCTTAGCTATAGGCAATATGTGGATCACTATGTTAAGCTATGCTGCATGATTACCTTGTCGTGTAATCTATTAATACATACAAAAAATTCCTATATCACATTTATACAAATTTTGAATTCATGTACCATAATAAACTTCTATTCATAAAGAACCCAGAATTTGTGTTAAATTGGAATGGATATTTAAATGGGGCAGATGCATCTCATATAATTAAAGAACATATCAAAGTATATCTTTACCAAATAATCAAGTAATCTATCAAACCTAAAAATATTTCCAGACTATTATTTCAAGTAAAATAATTCCTGAATATGAGTGTAAAACAAATCTTTCAGTTCGAATAAGCAATGTGTTTTATTATAAAGAAGCATAAAGGACCTTCATCCTTATTTCTCCTGAAAAAGGTGAATGTCAGAGGTATCGAACATAGGGGCCTTCATTTCCAAATTTGTTAAAAAGTTAAAATCATCATTTACTCTTCTACTACATTGTAGATTCTTGGTAGATTTTCAATTCATAGCATTTCAATTTTTGTTGACTTCATTTAACTGATCTAATTTACTTAAGATAATCATGTAGGGATCCTTTTTACAATTGTCCAATATCATGACCTTGAACATTATTTTACCTCTTAGTTATTCCACTAAACAAAAAGATTTTGACATGTTTAACCCTGTGACATTGAAAATGGTCAATATAACACCAAGGACATAAGCTATACCTTCCTGGTTTTAAATAGAAAACAGTGCAGTATCTTTAAATAAACTACAAGAGGCCCACAGGGCCTGCATCGCTCACCTGGATCTTTATGACCAACAGTACTTTATCTGTGCATATATTCCACATTTAACACATTTGACCCCTGTGACCTTGACTATGGGTCAAGGTCATTTCTTTTTGCAAACTTTCTTGGATTTCATAAAAGGAACATACTGGCAAAATATAATAATTCTAGGATTTTCGATATTTCATAAGAAATTGTTTAAACGTTTATACACATTTGACCCCTGTGACCTTGAAGATTGGTCAAGGTAATTTCTTTTAGCAAACTTTGTAGGACACCAGAAGAGGAACATAGTAGACTAATATAATGATTCTAGGCCTTCCGGTATTTTGGAAGAAATCGTTTAAAAGTTTCAACACATTTGAATTCTGCAACCTTGAATATTTTTTTCACAAACTTTGTTTGGCTTCATCAAAGGAACCTTCCAGCTATATATAATGATTCTGTGCCTTCTGGAATTTCGGAAGAAGTCGTTTAAAGGTTTTAACACATCTGATGTCTGTGACCTTGAATATGGGTCAAGGCCATTTCTTTTTGCAAAATTTGTTTGGCTTCATCAAAAGAACCTTCCAGCCAAATGTGATAAGTCTAGGCCTTTCGGTATTTCAGAAAAAGTTGTTTAAATGAAAAGTTGATGGACGCAGGACGGACAGACGGACAGATGGACGCCGCGGTATGGCATTACCTCACATGGCCCTTTGAGTCAGATGAGCTAATAAAATGGACTGTCTCACAGATTCTTGAGGATAAAAGAATTAAGTGGTAAGCTGAATCACTGGGTCCTTGTCAAAGAAAACTTAGATTATGTGTTGAAACCCTGGGTCCTTGTCAGAAAAGCCCAGATTGTGAGCTGAAACCCTGGCTAAAGATGGAAAAAAGAGAAATCTGTTAATGGTCAGGGGCTATAAGTTGTCAAAACTCTCAATATAATAAAGAGTTTCTATAGAGAAGTATCAAAATATAACTGTTTGAAAGTTCAAAGGAAAGCAGATTTCTGCCACAGCAGATATTAAATCATGGCCACAGTTTCCAGTTTTATAATCCATATCTCTTCCACCATGGTGTTAAGAAGCGTGCTATATCAACTGAATAATGGAAACATGTACAAGCCATTCAAGTCAACTCCCCTGTTTTCCTTAATTCCAATCTCTAAATCCCACAGTCCCTGGGACAGATGCCACCAATGCTGCAATTGACGCTGCAATAAAACCTCAATATGTGGCTCCACAAACAAAGCATATTGAAAAAAAAACAAACTTTTATATTTATTGATTATAAAACTGATTAGATGCCATATACAGTCTTCATGTACCTAGTGAAAAGTATACATCAACTGTATTGCAGCAATCTTCTTTAAATCTATATTTCTTTCAGTCCTGACACCAGACACATACCTGTGTGCAAGTGTTCGCCCAGATATAACATTAAGGGGACATCAGAAAGTATTGCAACAAGCACTTCAATATGTTGAGCATAAAGAATCAACCTGATTGATTTGTTACTGGCTGTTCATCTTTGATCAGTTTGCTTTCCCAAACTTGCCATATCCTTTGACATTTGAGCTTCCGTAAATTTAATAATACACCTAGAAAGCACAGAGTTCCATCACAGCTGAAATAACATGGATTATAAATCTGTCACGATGTGCAGATGAGCAACATCAAAAATAATGTGACCGTAAAAGACCAAAGTGTGAGGAGCTTAAAAAAAACCTCACCTGTCAATGAATGCATTCAGCTACAACATGGACAGGCAAAAATTGATTCAGGGTACTTACCAGGTGATATCTAGGTTAAAATATATAGACCTGCAAAATAATGTTGTTGGTGACCTGAAATGAAATTTGCTATGACTGCAATTTATTTCTCCTGAATTTGTTTGACTTAATTACTGTGGTACTTTTAATTTCAATTCAACAAAAATGTGATTTTATACAAATGAAGTTGGTACAAATTAAATTAAACAAAAGCCTGATGTGTAAATTAACATCAACCAACATTATGATGTCATAACATATATACAAGCACACAAACACACCAAACAAGACTCAATACAACACAAAATATTTCCTCCGTTTATCGAAGCACTAACTAGTTAACCAAAATTTCTGTGCATTTGCATTTTTCTTGACACTCTACAAAACGTCCTTGTGGCACATAGCTTTGCTTATTACAAGCCGTGTCTGTCTCATATTTGTGGAATAATTACGGGCCGTCGTAGGTGTTTCAACCCGGTTACATGAAAGCAGTTTATGTGGTACTTCTTGCTACTACATAACTAATTTACTGAACAGTCTATATGATATTATCAAAGTACATGAAAGTTTCCATGAAAAAAGGACAATGGAGCTGTCGTTTCAACAAAACTTATCGGTCATGTCTTTTTTTTTCAAATGATGAAATATGATTATAGACATAACGGTCAAGTGTCAAGCACAAGGTAAGATTCGTTGCAACCGACAAGATATGAAGTTGACATCTAAGATCATCATTTAGTTACAAACATTGGATTCGTCTTCTAACCTTTCTCAATGTCATCTATATTGCCCATCACACTTCCGATTCTCCCAAGGGAAGCCATCGTTACTTTCTACAGTTGAACGTTAGAATTCCTCTGTTTCCTAGATCTATTGACGTCTTCCACTTATCATATGATAAACAACGTCACGAAAATGTTTCTTAGTGTGACACTACAGTATATTTAGATAATCGTTCAAATGATGCAGATTTTCACTACTCTCGTGTCGGGGTTTTTAAATCAAAGTAAATGAAGATATCCAAGATGTTCCGAACAGTGTTGATACCAGAGAAAAGTATCTGATAACTAACATAGATATTTCAGTTAGTAAATTTAGCATGATTGTTTCGCAACTTCGATGATTTTATTAAGCAGCAAAATTCAATGACTATACGCAACGAAAACAAGGCTTATCCCTTGTGATATCTTTATTTACAGCATAATTATCTTATATAAGATTTATCCATTACATACGTCTTTCTACTTCCGTTTCTGATGTATTTATGACACCGAAGTGTAAAAACGTGGAGTGGAATAACTCAGTGTATCTCGCGCCTTTCATTACACAAATTGGCATTGAAAAAATGAGAAAACCATTGTCAGAAATAATTTTCATGAACTGGATTGATGTGTAAAAAAACAGGTGTTATTAAAACCAAAGACATGCCGAACAGTGGAAGTAGCCACCGGCCCGGAGCCAACTTTTTTTCACATATGAAATGGGAACATCTCCTGGCAGGCGTCAGTGGCGGAGTAACTTCCACACTAGTCCTTCATCCTCTTGACCTGGTGAAAATCCGATTTCAAGGTAAGAAAACAAATGCACACTTTCCCAGCCCATTAAAAACAATCCAAGAAAAGTTTTTAAGTTTGTTCAAATAAAGACCATGGCCCATATTCAAGGTCACCAGTTTTATGTAGTTTTTTGGTAACCATCAAATAAATGCCACTCAGTGACTAAAGTGGTCATGTTATTCTAATAGTAACACACCTGGTTGAAGATTTGATTTTGTCTTGCTCACAGATAAGCTTTCCTAAAGCCTAATGTAAATCCACACTGCAAGATTTACATGACAGGTTTGTTATTGTACCAGCAGATAAAGTCTTCAATAAATTGATCCTTGACTGCAGACATTATAACATTTCCTGTATGCAAAAAGAAGTGGACATGCTTGATAACTAAGAAAGTCCCACATATACAGACTTTCCGAAATACGCCTGTCCGACGGACATGACCGATATTTTTTTACGAGGTCCGACGTTTTTTAAATCCTGATCGGTCCGACTGTCCGGCATTTATAATCGCATGTACACAAAACAGCGTCGCTAAAGTATAATGAAGGTGCCAAACACGGGGGAAAAATGAAAATATACGCCAGAGCAGTGCACATAAAAGAAAAAAAACAGTATGAAAAGAAGAGACCCAAGAGAGAAAATTTAATGAAAAATGGTAGCAGGGCCGAGAATGGTTGGTGTACGACTCGGAGAAGGTGATGATGTGCTGCAGGGACTGTTCCGATTTTTACGGCGAAAAGAGTCTGAGAAATACAAACACATTTATTCTTGATTGCACGAATTTCAGGACATCTATGGTTGAGGATCATGAGAAATCAAGAGTGCACCAAAAAGCACCTATCCACCTCCAAAATAAAACAAAATCTCTCGTGGAAAGTCCTGTCAGTTGCTGGCAAAGTCCTTAAAAAACTGAAGTAGGCAGAAAAAAACAGATTAGTGAATTTGTTTTAGAATGCCCATGTGTTAATAGTGAAATTCGTCACTGAAGTGTTGAACATAATTTATGTTAAATCTTAATGTGACCGGCTGGCTTATCAGACAGATAGTTTAATTGCGGTCAACTTAGTGTCAGAATCATGCCGTGAAACATTGGCTGGACATGCTCTCCACCAGTGAGACATTAACTGGTCACGGTTTAATTGTAGATCAGTAGAAGACACTTTTCCCTATCAGAATTAGATTAGAATTACTTTAGGATAAACTGTAAGATCACAGCAAATAGAGTCAGTCCTGGTGTGGCCGTGGAAGGAGTAACTTGTTAAGCTCGATACTCAGACCATACATGTTATCATTGTTGTAACTTGTGCTAATACTCAACATTTGTACTTTAGAATGGTTGTTGCTGGTCTTTTGTATGACATAAGGATAGTACAACATAGAGGGGTAACATATTCTGGTGGCAGCGGTAAAGGATCATTCTAAGGAGAAGGACTCCGTTATCAAAGGTATAATGCTCATAAGAACTGTTCAATATGTCGATGCCTGAAGAAACGGAAACTGCTAAGATGACGGCAGCACAAACAAAGTTGGAAATAAGAAGACTCGAAATTCAAGCAGAGAAAGAGGAAAAAGAACGCCAAATGAATTTCGAAAGAGAAAGGATGAAGATGGAAGCAGAAAAAGAGGAAAAAGAACGCCAAATGAATTTCGAAAGAGAAAGGATGAAGATGGAAGTGGAAAGAGAAAAGATAAGAATGGACGCCGAAGAAAAGGAAAGAGAACATCAAAGGAAAGTGAAAGAATTGGAACTAGAGATAGAAAAAGCAAAACTTCAAAATGAACGAAGTGACACAAATTCTAACCCTGTGCCATTTAGACTGAAACTTCAACCTTATAATCATACTGAAAGTGAGGATATAGTGACATTCTTATCAGAGTTTACTGCTTTATCAACACAGGCTGGATGGACAGAAGAAGTAAAAATGCTACAGCTGAGAGCCTTGTTAACAGGTGAGGCCAGAGAGGTAGCTATTCAAGCACATGGGTCATTTGAAGAACTTTGTAAAGCCCTAATGGACAGGTACGGGAAAAGGCCCTACCAGTATTTCAAGCTATTACAGACAGCCCAAAAGGAACCTAAGGAAACATACAGAGGACTTATGGCAAGAATTGAACAATATCTTACTAGATTTGTGGACTCGGTAGAGGATGTCATGGAAAAGGAAAAATTCAAAGAGGAATATTTTCTTAGTGCATTGCCAGTGTCACAAGCACAATGGATACGCCGTAACAAAGGGTCGAACAGTGTGGTTGAAGACGCAGAGGATTATATTCTACCTGAATGGAATATAAACAAATCAACGCAAGGTAAAAGTATAAATGGAAAACCTTCTGCCTCTGATCGGGACCAGAGAAAGGAGCAATCGAGGGAGCAAATGAAAAGTGTGCAGTGTTACAATTGTAACAAGTATGGGCACTTAGCGAGGAAATGTCCAAAAAACAGAGAAGGTAAAAATCTTGCAGGATTTTTAGTGCGACAATACACGGGAGGACTTATCCATGTCCCAGGAGAGGTCAGTGGCCGTGATATTAGTTTCGTGAAAGACACTGGGTCAGCGATGACCTTGATTAGGGAAGACCTGATGGACCCAAGTTGTGTATTGGAGGGTCAGCAAGATAGCGGTGTACAGCAACTGGACAGCCATTTTCAGCCAAACTGGCTATCGTTGATATGGACACGCCATATTATAAGGGACACACTCAAGTCGGATTAGTGCCTGACCTTGTCGCTGAAGCCCTGTTGGGGGTAGACATAATAGAGAGACAATCAAAGGCTGTGAATGTTGTTACGCGTGCACAACACCGTAATGACATTGCTGAAGAAAGGCTAGCTGAGGACAAGGCAAAGGAATGCCATGTAAAAGTTGGAATGGACCCCGATACGGGCGTCGAGGAGGACCAAGTGGATGTCAGTAAGGGAAGTGATGTTGGACAGGTGAACGATGTGGACCTGGACCGTGGCGATGACGTTGGTGAGGACACTGACAACATCAGTGAGACTGTATCTCACAGCAATGGGGGTGATACAGTTAACATCACAACAGAGGAACCACTTGAACTTTCTGCTGTAAATGCTGAAGTGCTTAGTAAGCTTCAGCAGGAAGATCCAACTTTAGCCAACATTCGGAGAAAAGCTGCAAGTTCAGAGGAATCTGTGCAGGAAGATAGGAATGCCCTGTACTGGGAAAATGGTATTCTCCGTAGGAAATGGGAGTCTAGTGATGGAACCCAACATGGAGTCCAGGTAGTACTACCAGAGGCACTACGTCTCAATATCATTAAATTGGGACATGATAGACCACTTGCGGGACATTTAGGGATAGAAAAGACCAAAGAGCGTGTCGTTAATTCTTTCTATTGGCCAGGGATTTTTAAGGACATACAGGAATACTGTAGTACTTGTAACGTATGTCAAAAGACTGCCAGAAGACGTGGTGACGAGAAAGCTCCATTAGGACAACCACTGATCATCAGTGAGCCATTTTACAAAATATCTATGGATGTTGTTGGGCCACTGTCTCGAACAAAGGTGGGGAACAGGTTTATTCTTACCATTATGGATGACGCAACAAGGTACCCAGAGGCTTTTGCATTAAAGAATGTGGACGCAGAAACCATAGCTAACACATTGGTGGAACTGTTCAGTAGGGTAGGAGTGCCTCGTGTTATTCTGACAGACCAGGGCACAAACTTCACCTCAAAAATGATACAAGAACTCTACCGTGTGATGGGAATCAAGGGCATAACAACATCGCCATATCACCCACAGGCTAATGAGAAGGTAGAAAAATTTAATGTAACTCTCAAAGCTGTGTTAAAGAAACTCTGCACGTCAAATCAGGAAGCCTGGGACGAGCTGTTGCCATATGCATTGTTTGCATATAGGGAAGTACCCCATGAGGAAATGGGATTCTCACCATTTGAGATGCTCTATGGATGGCCGATCAGAGGGCCATTACAGATTTTAGAGCAAGCCATGACAGGCGAAGGGGAGCTTAGAAAATCTGTCATTGACCATGTTGTTTAGATGAGAGAAAAGCTCGCAATGGTTAGAGAAACAGTACAGGAAAACCTGACAATCAAACGGCAAAAGATCAAAGAGTAGTACGACAGGAACGCCACAAAACGGGAACTTCGACCTGGGGACGAGGTTTTACTATTACTACCATCAGACACGTCAAAAATGGTCGCCCAATGAAAAGGACCATATAGGGTCATAAGGAAAGTCAACAACATCAGCTATGAGGTCAATGTTGGATGACGTCGTAAACGAGTTGTTTATCATATCAACCTACTACGGAAGTACAATAGAGCTGTCCAAAACGTCATGTTTGTCGAAAAGGTTGACATCGCCGATTCTGATTTTGACAGTTCTAATTCAACATTGGAGGTAACACTGGATGTTACACTTGGCAAAATGTTAGATAAGTCACAGCGCCAAGAAATCCGTCAGCTTTGTCAAGAATACAGTGATGTCATAAATCCTGATGCGGGAAAACCATTGTTAGTTACGCAAAGCCTGAGGACAATGTGTGAGAAACCAATCCGACAACAGTCATACAGAATTCCTCAAGCCAAAAAACAAGAGGTGAAGAAATTGTTGGATGAAATGATAGAGCGTGGTTATATAACACCTTCCTCAAGTGCATACTCATCTTCAATAGTTTTGGTGGAAAAGAAGGATACTACAACTCGGCTTTGTGTGGATTACAGGAAACTCAACGACGTAACTGTATGTGACGGGTACCCAATACCCAGGGTGGACGAGATATTTGAAAAGCTAGGCAAAGCTCAATACCTCAGCACTATGGACCTAGCAAAGGGGCAGCATTCGTAACTGAATTTGGACACTTCCAATTCAAGGTAATGCCTTTTGGTATGAAAACAGTGCCTGCTACATTTGCAAGGATGATGGACAGACTGTTAGCAGGAGTAGAACATGTGGTCGCTTACTTTGATGATATAGTGGTATACAGCGACACATGGAAGGAACACCTTGAACATATCAAGACTGTATTACATAAACTTCAGGAAAGTGGATTAACAGTAAAGCCATCAAAATGTCAATTTGGTGAAGAGGAACTTTACTGTCTGGGACACATTGTTGGGAAAGGAAAGCTTAAACCAGATAGTCGGAAGGTTCAAGCCATGGTTGACGGCCCCCTCCCACAAACCAAAAAAGGGATTAGGTCATTTCTAGGTATGACTAGTTACTATCGGCGTTTCATTCAGGATTATGCCAAGATATCGGCTCCATTGACCAACATGCTAAGGAAAGACAAACAAAGGCAACCCAAATGGACGGATGACATTGTAAATGCATTCAACCAACTAAAGGATGAGATGATCAAGGCACGGGTACTAGCAAATCTGGATTTTTAAAGAGCCCTTCTTCATTCAGACTGATGCCAGCAACGTGGCTATTGGAGCGGTCTTAAGTCAGAATATCAACGATAAGGAACACCCTATTGCATACATCAGCAGAAAGTTACTGCAGCGGGAACAAAATTACTCTACAGTGGAGAAGGAATGTTTAGCTATCGTTTGGAGTGTGGAGTCATTCTCCTATTATATTAGTGGTGTTCACTTTACCATTTTGACTGACCACAATCCACTTAAATGGCTTGATAAGACCAAGCAAAAGAATCAGAGACTGTTAAGATGGGCACTGGCATTACAACAGTTTCATTATGCAATCAGATATCGAAGGGGCCAGGAAAATGCAAATGTGGACGGACTATCCAGAATTGAATAAATAGTGTATATATTTTGAAAAAAAAAAGACGAACACTAACTCTGGATGTATCGTCAGTTATTGCGATGTGTTTTAAGGTTTTGTGATGTGTATAACTTCAGAACAAACAGTGACATTCTAACAGAAGTACCTTATCCAAGGAAGTTAACAGTATCTGAATCAGATTTATGTACTGTGTTAATTGTAGAATTTAGAATTAACTGTTGTTCAAGTAAACTTTACCAGTGTTTGTGTACATACTAGATATTATCTCAGCCTGAGTATCATGAGCAGATTGCTATCTCTTGAACTTTTAGACCGTAAAAGTTTTCTTAGGCAGGGGGATGTTAATAGTGAAATTTGTCGCTCAAGTGTTGAACATAATTTGTGTTAAATCTTAATGTGACCGGCTGGCTTATCAGACAGATAGTTTAATTGCGGTCACCTTAGTGTCAGAATCATGCCGTGAAACATTGGCTGGACATGCTCTCCACCAGTGAGACATTAACTGATCACGGTTTAATCGTAGATCAGTAGAAGACACTTTTCCCTATCAGAATTAGATTAGAATTACTTTAGGATAAACTGTAAGATCACAGCAAACAGAGTCAGTCCTGGTGTGGCCGTGGAAGGAGTAACTTGTTAAGCTCGATACTCAGACCATACATGTTATCATTGTTGTAACTTGTGCTAATACTCAACATTTGTACTTTAGAACGGTTGTTGCTGGTCTTTTGTATGACATAAGGATAGTACAACATAGAGGGGTAACACCATGCAATAGCTAAAAGTAATCGTCCCTTAACAGATTATATATGGCTTTGTTATATTGACGGAACCAAACAGATAGACATTGGCAGTCTCCCAACTACAACTGTTGAAAACATGTAGACGCTCTCGTGTGGGATCAACATTGCTGAATGACCATATTATTGTGAAACTGTAATCCCCAGAAATTATGGAGTTTAATCCAGATGATGCCATCGACACCTGGCTGGTAAGTTTCCTGAAATAACTCTAAATCAGTTGTAATAGATCATTTACAGTATCATAAGAGTAGTGGATATAATTGTAATTACAAAAAAAGTCACAAAAATGAGCCTACCGTTTTGATGTTAGTTAAGCACTTATACTTTGAAGTTATTGTTAGTGTTGTTAGATTTTTTTTATATAATTTAACTTTCAGGTGATTAAATTACATGTACTTAATTTTGTACAATACTGATATTTTAGGCTGGATCTGTGATGGAAAGAAGAACAACATACAGACGCAAGGAAAAGAAGGTGACTCTAGAATCACAACAATCTGTTGTCATTCAGTCTGAGTTTGATACTGAAGATGTCCAACAAAGATCAGGGTCACAAGATCCTCAAGTTGGTCAAGAGTCAGATGACAGGAGGAGGAGGATGTCACCGAGCCAACTTGAAGTTTGGTATCTCTGAGACACAGGAGGAAGTTACTAAAGTGACAGAGTCTTCTTATATGTCCCTTGAAAGGGGCATTAACATTCTGTGCAATAAAGATTCTGATCCAGATATTGAAGAAGAGTGCTTTGACTTTCAAGATGAACTATTAAACTTTGATAAGTTAATGGAACTCAGCAGAGAATAAATATGAATGTAGAAATAGTTTTGACAAGAAAGTAAATGAAAAATTAAAGAAATGTGACAAGTTTTCTTTGTTTTTGTTTAATATCGTTCGGTCTGACAGATTTCGTTTCGGTCTGACAGTTTTTCAGGGTATGTCCGACCGATTACTGGGATTTAGGGCTTTATTCAGATAATTACCTTGATCCACTTTCACTGGATTGTATGGTAAAATGTTTTCAAATGAGCAAAAGACCCAATATTTTGTCATTTCAAAAAGTAACAGAGAGAAAAGAATTCAGGGTTGAATAAAGAAAGTTTCTTTATTGTCCTTGTCCAGATATGTCTTTTCTTCATTAACTCCTGAAGAATTGAGTAATTACTACATAGCCATTGGCCTCTTGTTTCACATATTACACATGTATAAAAGATATTGTTGGTGATTGACTAACTAAACATGCTGCTACCTGATTTGATCTTTATAAACCATGATAATATTTACTTGCAGCCTCAGTGTCGGAGACCTAGAAAAATCTTAACAAATAGAGAAAAACGTGTTTCTGCTGTTTTAGAGAAACTCATCTATGTGATCAAGGTTCTATTAATTAAATCAAAGCATGCTCCACTGTCTGGGTGATAGAGGTTGTAACACTACAAGCTGAAGTGAAATCTCTTTATTCATGAAGGTGAAAGCCATCAGCTTCATTTTGAATCTACCTGAAAAGAAACCTTTGTGAGATGTCGGCAATTTTCAAAATGTGGCTTTTTTGCCAATTTTACTTTTGACATGGTAGAGCCCTCATGCTAGAGATCCAGGTTCCTGTCTGGACAATGGGCAGGAATTTGCATGTGGTCAAAATATAGAACAATCTTCCGGAGTATATTGTATCTGCACCAACAGTTAACTCTTTCAAAAATAGATTAGACGAACACTGGGCAAATCAAGAATTGGTATATAATTATAAAGCAGAAATTCTGTAGTTCCTGGATCTGATGTCTCAAATGACAATAATTATAAACATTATCATTGTATCACCGAGACCAGTATAGAGGATTGTAACGATCCTGCACTGGTAATAAACTAAACTAAACTAAGGAATGTGTTTTATTTCTTCTTTCACTCTTCATTAATCTACACATACAATGTTAATTGTATAAGAACAGAAGCATATCCCAAACCAAACAACTTTTAAACAGATTTCTCTACACTGGCATTAAGGACAAACTGATTAATCAACACTTCATTGTATTTGAATAAAAATGCAACATCAGTTTAAGGAGTGGACACAACTGTCAATTTAACAAAATTAAAAATTTACATTACTGATTGAAATGTGTTATCAGAATAGTTAGTTTAGCACATGCAAGGTCTTAGGTAGAATATATGAAAGAAGTAAACAGGTTTTGGGTCAGTTGTCTGACTAGATCAGTTTTTTCTTAGAATCCTATTTTGTCCTAAGCCCCCTCCCCAATCCTCCACAACCACCAATATACCTATATACCTATATCATTTGATAAATAGTTACAAATATTTACCTTGGTTTCAAATAGATTTGTAGTTTTGTTTCATGTATCAATCTTTTTTAGTGCATGAGGGCGGTGTGGCCGGAGTATCAAGACCGATGTACAATGGCTTAAAAGATGCATTCCTACAGATCATTCGTAAAGATGGGGTCACTGGAATGTATAGAGGAGTGGTACCAAATGTTTGGGGAGCTGGAACGTCCTGGGGGCTCTACTTCTTTTTGTAAGTGAACTGATATCTTATTTGATACAACTCATGAGTTTATCAGTAGGGGCTTGGAAGTGCCATATTAATGTAGCTACTGTAAAAATGGAAGTATTTCAATTTCTTAAAAAATGAATGTCCTGTTGAAAGATAGGTACCTCAATTTCTTAATTATTAATATTCTCTGAATGTCTTATTAAATGATACATAACTAAGTATACGTAATGTAGTTGAGATACATACCGTAACTCAGTTTGATAAATGAGTTCAGGTAATAGAGCCAACGCCGTTCATTAAAGTTGGGTGGTTTGTAGGTTCCTCCACTCCCCAGCTGGATACCTCAGGTATGCAGGGTGATTGAGCAAGAGAGAAAATCCGAATCTAAGTATCAATCACAACAGTCTGCAGAGTGGTTGTTCTTAATATTTATTATTCAATACCGTCTACCGGTTTCGCCCTCCCGGGCATCTTCAGTTATAATAAATATAAAGAACAACCACTCTGCAGACTGTTGTGATTGATACTTATATTCAGTTTGATAAATATGCCAAAACAGTTTTTATACTCCGCCAGATGCGATCGTATATTGGCGTCATCTTCTCCGTCTGTTCGTCCGTACGTCCATTTCTTGTGAGCGCAACTCCTCCTAAACTAGTCATCAGATTTTCATGAAACTTGCTCAATGTCACTACTACAATGGGTAAATGTGCATGAAGGGGCAATTTTTTGGTTCGTTGATTTTTGTAAGATTTATGCCATTTTCAACTTTGTATCTGTAGCTTGTTCATAGTGGAGCCTTGTGAACGCAACTCCTAAAATAATCATCAGATTTTCACGAAACTTTCTCAATGTCACTACTACAATTATAATGGGTAGATGTGCATGAAGGGGCAATTTTCCGGTTCGTTTATTTTTGTAAGATTTATGCCATTTTATCTTGATCTTAAATTTTGTGGCAGCGTATATTGAACAGAGTGATGATCATACATTTACAGTTACAACAGCATTAAGACTTGGATGCAGGATGGTGACACTCAAGTGAACCTTGGTCCAGCTAAACATATGCTGGCTGCATCTGAAGCAGGTATGTATAATGAAAAGTCCCAGATTTTGGTTGCCTTTTGAAACATGTCAAACCAAGTAGTTTAATGTAGGTATGTGGTATTATATGTATAAGGTATAACAGGTGGAGTAGTACATCCACATACGAGTCGGGATTTCTGTGTTCAAATATTGTTCTCCTTTAAATTATCCAATAGGATAATAATAACAACAACCATTAACTGTATTTTTACAGTGACAGAGGGTACCGCATGATTTATTGCCACATAATTTAGTATTTAACAGAAACATGTATTGTTCTTCATAAGCACGCGCAATTTGCTTTTATTTGAAAACTTCAATGATTAAATACTGTTTTTAACTTAATAGCAAACGAAATTATCAAAATTCATTTCAATTGATTTTTATTAAAATTCTTCCCACAAAACTTAATAAGCTTAGAGGAAAAAATTCTTACACCTACGCAAAACAAACAAAAAAATTTGCGTGTGCACCGCGCTACCCGAGTCGCCTGAATGACGGACCCGGGTACCAGGACACATGTATTAGCACGACCCGCACGTGCTAATACACAACACGCCACCTATTGGAAAAACATAACACGGAGAAATTCATTTCATCCTTATTCCCCAGTCAAACGGATGAAATTATATTTCTCCTTTAAATTATCCAGTAGGATAATAATAACAACAACCATTAACTGTATTTTCACAGCGACAGAGGGTACCGCATGAAGAATAAAGAACGGGGAATGTCTCCCAAAAGTACTAGATACGCCCCCAAACAGATTATAGGATCCATTTAGGAAAGTCACAAGTTCAGATGCCTAGAAACATTCAACTGTTCATGAAAATTGTCTTCAATATACCAGTCCTTCGCCGTTTCTGATCTCCAGCGCCCGTGGCGTTTAAACAACAATACCAGCGTTGGCACCAGCTGAAGCTCCTCCCGCATGAAGGCTGTGTAAACCAAACTTCTTGATATCCGGAACCACTGAAGAAAACGCCTGAATGAAATGCTCTCTGAACCTCGAATACAACATAGGCTTATTAAGCTTCCTGAGCACATAACTACCAGTTTCCAACATAGTAAGGTTCCTAAACACAAACTCCCCAGAATCATCCGATATACCAGCCAGCTTCACATACAGCTCAAAATTACATACCGGACACAACCGCGATCCAGTCCTACTAACGATTATCCAAGAACCGTCCCGATATACATCTGTCTTTGAATGTTCAATGAAAATTTCCATGTGTGAAGTGCGTATCTGTATATCAGACCTCCTCAATGCAAGTACCTCTGCGTTCCACATAAAACCTGCGTAAGCAAACAAACACATGGTAATGATTCTCTGGTTATACAAATTATTTTTATCAAACATCTTATCATATACAGCATTAAGCATTGATATAGTTATTGCCTGTTTTTTCTGCACTGGCTTAGCTAACAACCTTTTTGCCCCTTCAAACACATTCCGTACTAATGTAGACACAGTAGGGATACTTTCCCAACAATATCATGAGCCCACTTAACACCATACATAGCGTCCGTTAAAGAACCAGTCGTTCCATTGTTCTTCACCAAATATGATATATATATACACAGATGAAAAGGTTTCACAAGGAAGATATATTCTTCCTCAAAATTGTTCTCCTTAGCCCACTTTCTCCAACGTAAATATCCATAGCAGTACTTCCTAACCGTACTCTCAGCTTTACAATGCTGAAGTAGCTCAGGTACACCCAAAGCGTAATCCTTAAGGTGATCCGGAACCATAGAACATTCCTCTCTCAACACTGACGTCACTAATCGTGAAAAAGGAAAACAAAAACAACAAATTAAAATATATACAAATTCCAGTGGAAAGTAAGTTACCCTTATGAACCCAAATCACATATACTAGACAATTAAATTCATTAATGACATTCACAAAACCACCACAAAACCCAGCAACACACTGCTGTAACTGACAACACACTGTCAGTCCCCTGCTAAGCAACAGGTATACACCAGCAACACACTGCTGTAACTGACAACACACTGTCAGTCCCCTGCTAAACAACAGGTATACACCAGCAACACACTGCTGTAACTGACAACACACTGTCAGTCCACCTGCTGTAAACAACACACTGTATACAGCCAGCAACACACTGCTGTAACTGACAACACGCTGTCGGGGTTCCTGCTAGACAACAGGTACACACCAGCAACACACTGCTGTAAATGACAACACACTTTCAAATAACTGCTAACCAACAGATATACCCAGCAACACACTGCTGTAGCTGACAACACACTGTAAAATCACTGCTGTAAACGTCAGCAATCGGTACTATCAACAAAAACTATTGTAATCTGTAATACTAGGTAATACACATTCTCAACAAAAAATAGACACCCTAATAATGTTAAAACTAACAAATTATAGATTGGTATTCAGATCAGCGAAAATCCAAACGCAACGCTAACATCGGAAATTTCAAGTCTACATTTCCAAACATGCCTTTCCCCGAACGTGACGGGGTGTAAAACACTTCTCAGTATTCAGGAATATATATTCTTGAACACCACCCATGAAATGTACACCATCTGGACATATGTGGGGCCAGAATCTAGCTGATTTCCAAAACGGAATAACTAGAGTACCGTGGGCCCCACACACTTCCATGTACTTGATTACTCTAGTTATCAAATACACCGGAGGATTAAACCATCCATTTTTCCCGGCCCAATCAACCGAGAATGCATCTATACCTTCCGATCCCGGATTCCAATACCTAGAATAGAATGACCGAACTTTCGCATTGTACCACGATGCGAACCAGTCCACCTCATATGGACCCAACTTACGGTTCACCTGTTGAAAAACACACTCACACCCCAGTCGTCAAAATCAATAAGTTTACTGATAAAATCTGCCCTTTCATTTTCCTTCCTCGGTACCCATGCCATTTCTAATGATATATTGTTCTGTACCATTAAACGATATATATCCAGCGCTATGTCTTGTAAATTAGACTTCATGCTCCCCTTTTCTACTATTTTCACAACAGCCTGATTATCAGAGAACCATTTCACCCTGGAACCCCGGAGCACGTGTACCCATGACAACATGACCCTATATACTGCTGTCAATTCCCTGAACGTCGAACTTTGACCTGTCTCATAAGGAGACCACGTTCCATGTGACACACCCAGCGATGACTCGACACAGTAGCCACCGTAACCCGTGGTACTGGCGTCTGAATAGACTATCCTATTACAGTGAGGGGTGTAGCAAAGTTCTCTGCCATTAATACAGTCCAAATGATTCAACCAAAACCGCATTTGACTCAAACATTCGTCGTTCAACGTAATTCTATCATTCCAAGACTGCGCCTGTAACATACGTATCGAAATACACCTGGTCATAAGCTGTACGATATTACCAAACACGATACCCATAGAGATTATCTGCCCTACAAAACTGGACACAGCCTTCACATGGACTGGCCTTCCTTTGTCAACACACTTCAGGATATCCAAAACACAAGCACGTGCTTTTTCTATGCGACGATCTGGTATCCTTAGAACTCCTAACAGGGTATCTATATCCACTCCCAAGAAACCCATACACTGCACAGGATCCCACATAGATTTATCTACCTTCGGAACAAAACCAGACTGTATCAAATCACTTTTGACCTTAGAACTTTGGTCTAATAATTTTGACTTACAAATATTGTGACAAAGACCGTCATCTAAATACATTAAAATCTGGAGACCTTCACCTCTCCATTTTGCTATTAACGGTCTAGTAACTTTGGTAAAACAATACGGCGCTGTCGACAATCCAAATGGTAAAACCAGGAATTTAAAATACACTTTGTCCGAACCAAAAGTCCACGAAAAACCAAGATATTCTGTATGTGGGGGAAATATGTCTATGTGGTGATAGGCCGAGTGAACATCAAATTTAATAAGCCAGCCTTGCTTTACTGTAAATGCTAAAGCCGTTCTCAAATCATCGTACTTGACCGACTGTTTCCAAAGATGCAAATTCACTTCTCTCAGATCTAATATTAAACTTTCTTTCCGTTACTCTGTACCGAGACCGTTAATGGATTTACAACCAAAGGAACAGTATTACACCGTTCTACTAATTGACGTTTCTCCAAATGTAAAATTGCACTCTCAACGAATTCTTTGTTCCTTAATGCAGACAGGTTATTAACCTTTTCAGACTCATTTGGCGCCGAATAGAATGGTAATTTGTAGCCATTTTCAATAACATCTAAAACAAACTCTGAACTCCCTATAGCTTTCCAAAACTCAATATTCTTATTAAATCTGCCTCTCACTCTAATATCACTTTGGCCCTGTTCATACTCAAAATAATCATCCGTGAATAAAATGTCACCTCTACATGTAATATCTCCACTTGCTCTTCGATGTCACTAAAAATAAGATCATACTTATCTTTTAACACCTGTCCTTCTTTAGAATCGAACTTATCACGGGTTTCCGGTCTTAGGGGTTTTGGGGCACTCTCTCCGGAAATGCCCGAATTCACCACAGGCGAAACATGCTCGTGCTCCAGTGCCGTATTGGCCACGAAAAAGCTGCTTCCCAGGATTAATAATAGGACGAGTATAAGACTCCTGGCTTGCCGTACCCGCCTCAAAACTAGGCCTTCCATAGCTGCACCTCACACTTTTCTCCTTTGACTTTTTCTTTCTGTCCTAAAGCCTCTTTACTGCCTTACTGTCAGCTCTCGCAATCTTTCTGTCATCATCCGAATCACTTGCTAACGGATTAGCGACATATTCCTTCACTGTGCCCCAACCTGCCTCTGACGAATCGGCTATTCTAATTAGCTTGTTCCGCCTTGTTAGCTTACTAATAAGTTCATCAAGTATCTCTCCTGCATAATCTTCTTTACCAGCTTTCAAAGCCCAAACTACCTGCTGTACATCCTCTAACACTTCCGAATTAAACGTAAATTGTTCTTTATTTCCTTCGCGTTTCCACACAGTATCTTTATCCTCCCTCAACTTCTGAATCTGTTTGGCCACATCTCGTGAATTTTCCAATACTGACAACCTTGAGTCTGAATAACCCCGCAACTCTCATTTTGCTCCTTCAAATGCTCCAATATATCACCAAGAGTAGTTTCTCCCGAACTGCCGTGGACGTGGCACCAATTTCATCGCCGTCTGTCTCCATTTAACAAAATATACCCGACCATGCTGGACCTAAATTTG